GATATCGCGATTTCTAACAAAAAAAATCCTCGTGCCTTGGCGAGGCGAGCCATATGCGGTCGGATAACAAGAGCGTGACTAAATAAAACGGTCGGAGCGCGATACGCAATTAATGTTTTCCCCCAGCAGTAGACGACGGCCGCGGCGAGGAGATAGTAACGAACCGAGAATCATAACAAACACTACGACTGGCTAACTGCACCGTTCTCGTCTCCATCCGTCCGTATTCCTTCCTTCGTCCGTCTGTCCTTCCGTCCGCGCGTTATCAGTGCCTAACGCGGAATTGTGTCGTTGACATGACGGCGAAATCCGCTTTCCCGAGGAGGAGGAGTCGCGATAAAGGTACAAAGAAGAATTCGGGGTTCAACGCGCGTCGCTCTTCCTTCTTTATCCGTGCTGCTCGGAGCCAGAGGCTACTTTGAACGAGCGTAACAAAGACTCATGCGTGCGCGCGCGAGAGCGAACGAGAGAGAGAGAGAGAGAGAGAGAGAGAGAGAGAGAGAGTGCAAACGAGCGAGCGAGCGAGTGAGTGAGCAAGCAAGCGAACGAAGGAACGAACGAGCGAGCGAACCAGCCACCATTTGCGCTCACGAGCGAGTAATGGAGGACGGGTTCTCTCCTCTCTCGTCCCACTCTGTCCGCGCTCTGCTCTCTGTCGCTCTGTCGGTCTCTGTGACCTCAGGTTGAGGTCCTCCAAAAAAGAGAAGCCCCTCTTCTTCCTTTCCCCTCTAGCTCTTCTGCCACCCTTCCCTCGCGACTGCCCACTGCTAGCTCACTCGCTCGCTCGCTCGCTCGACCACGGTCCCTCCTTCCACCCTATTCGCTGCTCTCCGACGTTCTCTTCGACTCGTCGTAGAGTAGTTTCGAAAGAAAGGAGAGAAAGAGAGAAAGAAGGGATAGTATGTATGTGTGTATATGTATATATATATATATGTATATATATATATGAGAAAGAGAGAGGAAAGGCAGCTAACCGATGCACCCTTTTACCTGAATGTCGGGAAAACATGCCCAGGACATCGCGCGACTTCTGCGGAACGTATCTCTCGTGCTCGTTGTTGCGACGTTTCCTTATTGTCTTGGAGTGCACGAGCACAGGACAGACGTACGCACATACACACACACGCACGCACGCACGCACGCATGCACGCACGTAGGTAGATGGCTGACGTATAGATACGATGTTCGGAGAAGTTCGCGAGCGAGAAAGAGACAGAAAGAGGGACAGAGAGTGGCTATCCGTACACGGTGCGGGCGATGAGCGTGCACACACCACCGTCGACGACGACGACGACGACGACGACGACGACGACGACGTACAAACAAACACGAACGAAGCGACACACTGAACACATTGAGCCGCACTGAAGGCGAATCGGCGGAATGCGACGGGTTATCGGGCTCGGGTTGGTTAGAATTGGGAGGCCGGAGGATGCTCCGCCCCCGTTCGTTCGGCGAACGTCACACGCTGGCCAGCGGGCGAGCAAGCGGAGCACGCACGCACGCACGCACGCACGCTCGCACGCACGCATGCACGCACGAACGCAGGCAGACAACAGACAGGTAAATAGGCTAACAACGCAGGCGAGCAATCGGACAAGACTGGCCACAGGCAGGCAGGCACACACGCGCGCGCGCACGCATGCACGCACGCACGCACGCCGTCGTCGTCGTGTTACAGAACGGAGCGCTGCGGTGCAGTGCGTTCGAAAACTCGCCGCGTCGCGGCGCGCCAGTACGGCGGCAGCACTGCGGTGCGGCGCGAACGGCCATCTTGTTCAACCGTTTTTTAAATTTTCACTTTTACTCGAGTCGCGAGCGACGCGTAAGCGAACCGGCCTCGATCAGAGACGCTTACATAAATCGGTCGCGCGACACTTTTCCGCGAGAGAAACCGCACATGGGAAATCGCGTCCCTCTCTCTCCCGTCCGTGTTATTACGTGTCGTGCGTCGATCACGTGGTTATTCACTCGCTCACTTGCTTGCTCGCACGTTCGCTCGCTCGCTCACTCGCTCACAACCGATTGATCAAGTTGTCAGTTCTCGAGCACGCGGAACGTGCGAGTCGAGAGAAAAATACACAGCCACGCGTGGCGTTTATGTAACGCGCGTTTATGCGTTTCACGAGCGATACCGTACCTCGGCGTTTTATCGACAGCGGAAATCGATGGCGCTCGGCAATAAGAGAGAAAAAAAGAGCGACTTTGACGACATTCGGCGCGTTAATTATTTCGATGCGAAAGTAACTTACTGACACACGTCATGCGCGATTACCTTGACTTCAAGCTACCGATTGACACGATGGTCGCGTGACGACGCGCAATCGCCCGATGGCGGATGATACAAATTTAAAATCGGGAATTGGCGAAAGCGAGAGGTCGTTTTCTCGCCGTCCAATCTTCCGCTCGTGGAGTGGAACGAAGCTGGCAGGACAGTCCGTTATGTATGAGCACACGCACTCTCCAAGGTCCGGTCGATCGTCGTACTGCGTGCGTTCAAACCGATCGAAATATGCGACGCTGTGACATTATATGGACACGCGAGGAGACGCGTCGTAAACTCGTTTCCCATTGCGTCGTGTTGCGTTGCGTTGCGTTGCGTTGCGTCGCGGACGCAAAACGGGACGCGACGAAAACGAAGCGCAGGTGAGTGCCTCGCGCTTCTCCCCGCGAATTCGCCGAACTACGGGCTCGACGAGGTCGTTTAGGATGTCGTAACAGATGTCAGAGTCTTGACTGTCGTTGTCCGAAGTACTTCGCAGTACGAGAGTACGAGCGAATGAACGGGCTCGGATTGGCTGGCGAGAGCATTTGGCAATTGGCCGCCGATAAACGGCAGACACGATTCACGACAACCGAGCGATGTCAAGGCGAACGCCTTGGCAGGAATCAGCTGTGCGTATGTCTACGCACGTCCGTCTCTCCTGTTCCCGTCCGCGACACACAGTACGTCGGAGCACGCGTCGACAACGCGAAACACAACGGCGTCTCGCGATGCTACGCGACGCGACAAGCGGTCTTGAACACGCGTCTTTTCCCACACGACGGAGAAAAAGTTCGTACTCACCGCAAAAAGGGAGCTCCTCCCCTGGAAGTCGCACTCTCCAGTTACGCAACGCGATGCGCGAGGGGACACGTGAAAATACAGAGTGAGCTGTCAAGTCGATCCCTGCGCGTCGTCTGCTACGAGATATCTCGACCGAAGTGGCTGCAGAAGACGCAGGTGTTCCAGCGCGTTCGAAAGTGCGTGCGTCGCCAGCGCCGTTGGCCGAGGCAGCGCGCTCGTCGTCGCCGATTGGTAGACGTGCGATGAGTCGTACAACGCTGACCAATCAAACAACGCGACGCGAGAACGATCTAGGGCGCGTTCCGTTACAGGCTCGCAACGCTCGCGAGTGTCATTCTATCTTTGTTTAACATCTATGAACAACAAAGATAGAATGACGCTCGCGAGCGTTGCGAGCGTGTAATGGAACGCGCTCCTAGAGGCCATTTCGCTCTTACGAAAAAGATACGAAAAAACCCTCAATTTTGGGTGTTAACACTCAAATTTAAGTGTTTATCCCCAATTTTTGTGTGTACACCCAAAATTGAGGGTTTTTTTCGTAAGGACGGCCTTTATTGCAAACCATTGAACTACATAAGGCTGCTTCCTCACGCGGCGACCAATCACATCTCTCATTTGAATAGCTGATATTCAAATAAAACGATGTGATTGGTCGACGTAAGTTACGCTTACGCAAGTTACGCTGCATGGGGAAGCAGCTTAACAAACGGACACTGCCTTTGTTTTTATCCGAATCGAGAAAAATAATTTTGAGGAGAATCGTCTGTTTTCATGCATAACCTCAATAAAAAATAAGACTACACGTAGGGCTTTAGCGTGTTAACAAGACATGGAGGGCAATTCTTTTTGGAGATAGTCCTCTCCTCATAGTGTTTATTCCAATTAAATCTGTTCTTTTTCACTGACATTGAACTAATGTATATTTATGGGAACAGACATGAAAGAAACAGGTATACAGTTGAGACTGGTCGAGAAAAAGAATTGACTAATCCATAGTATACATGGACTCCGAATGTCCTATATTCTGTCGTCTAATAAAGTGAAGCTAACATCTAGAAAGAGAGCTAGAATAGAGTGCCTATAGTTTTCTTTCTATTTTGTCACTTTTTTGTTGCGCGTGCATCTATTTCTCGTTTCCATAATATTATAGAGCGCAACAACACCCCGACTAGACTGGCAAGTAAAAGTTTTATTTAAATTTTATTGCACATTTTGTCTGTGTAGAAAGAGATAGAGAACACACATGGGCTGTACATATTGGCTTTACTTTTCTGGCTGTATGCGGGATCCATACTACCATGGACTAATCACAGTCGAATATTGTAAGAATAATCGGTTATGATTGGCCAATTCTTACGTCTCGCGATGTTTATTGTAGGCTAGACTTTAGGTCGATTCTACAATACGTCGTTTGTCGGAGTTAGTTTCGGTTTAACCGCCGGCAGGATAAGATGTGTCTGAACGAGTTCAGACCGGTGATTTTTGGAAGTTGCCTTGGAACCTACCAAGGCCTTACTCATTTATACTCATCTAAGGATTGGAGAATGGCGTATGGGGATAACCTTTTTCCCCGGAGCCACTAAAGAACAGAACAGGACAGAACAGTTTGTTGGAGTTGGACGTAGTCGATGGTTCAATGAGAGTTTATTTTCCGCAAACGAGTTTTCCTCATTGGATCATCGATATGAAACTATTGTAGAACCGACCTAATAAGTATCTTCGAAACGCGCCGCCATATGTATGTCACCACCAAGTCTGTCAAGCGAGCACAACAGTGACGATTTGTATTTGGGGGAAAATGTATTACGTCTAAAGCCCGGTAAATGATAAATCGCGAAGAGTGAATAACAATCGTCTGTGAATCACTCAAGAGACATGGATATTTAGAGCATGAAATCACGAGTGAAATAAATGTAACTGTACTCGATAGAAATAAGTGATCTCGCTATTTCTATTAGTCGATTTACACGCGTTAATGTACAAAGACGATTAATTACAGTAATTACAATCAAAATCACAATAATGGTGCAGATGCGTGTGTGTTCGTATGTATTTTACAATTAGAATAAATATCACTCCTCTCTCTTTATATATATATCTACGATCGATAGACAATGTTGACATAACGTTAGTTTGTACTGTCGCATTAAACGTCAGATATTCGCCTCATTTTTCATCGATACTATACAGCAATTCCTTCAGGGATTCCACATTTATGGTCTGCAAGGAATCTGCAACGTTCTTGTCACGAGTAAGGTTCTGCTCCATACTTGAATCCACGAGATTCATCTGTGCATTATCAGAGATCTGTGCAAAGTCTGCATAGGAGTCCATCAAATTTTCTTTCTGCTTGGGTGAGGACACTCTCAGGTGCTCCATTTCAAAGGTGGAGGAGGACACGCTGTTCTCAAGCCGTGACATCATTAGTGAAAGGAAATCATTCTTCATGTTAATCTTCTCGTTGCCTAATTCTGTCTTCTCTAGTGTTCCTGAAGATTCCTTGAGTTTGACAGAATCAGGATTATTGGTGCTCCACGTTTTGTTCTTTGAATTTTTGGTGTTATCAGCACTTTCAAATTCCAGGTTTTGTTCCTCCTTCTCCAGAGGCATATTGTTCACCTCTGACTGCAGTGCCAAGACATGTTGTCCTTGCGCATTTATTATCAGTACAAACTTGTTTTCTTCCTTGTCAACAGTATTCACGATCGATTGGCCCTCTGATTGAGAGATGTTGCTCGCCTGCAGCTTGACCGTTTCATCATTGGTCTTCTGTGCAATCGTGTCCGACGATTGCTGCGGATTTCCCTGCACGGGACATTTGTGTGTTCTCTGACTCACCTAGAAGCACAAATCACGCGCATGAGAAACAGTGACGAGCGGGACGTGCGCGGACGCGCGAGAGGAGAAGCTTCTCGCGATTATACGGAGGTATACCTTGTATCGGAAGCTTTTGCCACACAATGTGCACTTATAAGGCATCACTCCCGTGTGAATTCGACGATGGACTAAATACGAAACACGCTGGCGGAAACACTTTCCTGCGGAAGAATCAATACAGGGGCGTACAGGGGGATTACTGTTGTCGTTGTTAAGAGTTCGTACATTTATTCACGCTAACAAAATAACACTGGCCTGCAACATTAGGAGTCTAATGAGTGACATAGAAATTTCCTATGACTCCTGATAGATTTCAAAGCACTCAATTCAATCACAAAAAGTACTTCTCGTCTCTAAATTTGGAGAAAATTGAGGTTAGATTTCTAAAGACATAATTTTATCGATTTTCCAGCTACAGTAACTCTGAAAGTACAGATACTTGGCAGTTCCATTCAAACTCAAAATAAAGCTTTTAGTCAGTACTTTTATTGGAAAAAATCAAACTAAAGGTCATGTCTTAATTTATGACGTTAGAAGTCGGAAAATACACGCGCTAAAAGTTCTTACAATATATATAGAAACAAAAAGACATATTCGTAATATGACACTTGCAAACGATCAAGCAGATGTGTAAAATAGTCCGAACACTCTCCTTTTTTCTAAAAATCTATAAAAACCGTAGAATTAACATAACAAAATCATGAGACAATGTTGATTGGATCAGATTGTATGTCACTTTAATTTTACAGAAATTTACTGATTGTTAGAGCAAAAGGTAAGAGTTTGGATTAATTGTAGATACACCCGATCGATTGTCAATTTATGGATATATTTTTCTATTTCGATATATTTTGCAAAAATTTATATAGTACGTTTTGTATTTTCTCGTCTCTGACGTCATCAATCGAGAGATTCAGTACACCAAAATCTAGGAACCGCAAAAAAGTCCCGTGTTACTCATCAGACCTGTAATTTTGCAGGTCAGCATGTAATCGGCGTTTCTTTTTGGAAATTACCTGTTCTCAAGGTCATGCACAGCGCGCACGCACGCAGCACAATATTACAGACACTAGCCAAACGAGAACACGGTAATCGGTGTTAGGTTGTTAGTCAATCCGAAATCCAGCGAGCGCCGTGGATCTGTTAACAACACGTCGCGTTCAGCTCGTCGCGTTCAGCTCGCCGCGTTCAACTCTCTCTCCGCGTGCTCTCTCCCCAACGTACCGCATGTTTCACACGCGAACGGTTTCTCGCCGGTGTGAATTCTCTCGTGGTTGTGCAACGTGGAGAGCTCCTTGAACGATCTGCCGCAGGTCGCGCAGGTGTGAGGCTTGTCGTCCTTGTGGTAGAGCCGGTGCTTGTGATATGACTGCTGGAAGGTGAAGTTCTTGTCGCAGATCTTACACTTGTACGGCATCTCGCCGGAGTGCAGCCGTTTGTGCTTCTTCAGGAAGTATTTGGTCGTGAACATCTTGCTGCAGACGTCGCACTCCCACTGCTTGCCCTCGTGTGTTTTCAGATGCTGCATCACGTGTTGCTCCTGTCGCAAAACACAAGGCGGGATTATCGGTTTGCAAATGAACGTTTACATTACGATAGAAAAAAAAGACCAAACCAGGATAAAATTCTCACTTTCTTGAATCTCTTTCCGCACGTGGGGCAGTTGTACCCGACATCTCCGTGTGCTAATTCCATTTGGCCGTCTTTAGGTAGAGAACCTGCGTATCGACATTATTAGAACGAAGATATTTCGTTGGGTAAGCTAATATTTCTTCTAAGACTCTCCCGGCTAATTGCCGCAATTATTTTGATTTGTGATGTCAGGAAAACAAGAGAATACAAAATTCTTCAAGAGTACATTGAAATAAAAAGATATATTCAAGAAATGACATTTGCTATCGATTAAAATACTAAGAACACTTCTCTAAATAAAATCAAAGTGGAGGTAGCAATTACTTGCCTAAATTGTGGCCGATATGCACGACTCTCATGTGCACCATTAAACTGCCCCTCATCTTGAATACCTTAGAACACAGGTGACACGAATAATTTTTCAGAACTTTCCTCGAGACGTTCTCCGACTCCTGCTCGTGCACCAGCTGCTGATGCAGTGCCAAGATATTCACGTCGGGAAAGTGGAAGCCGCATATGTCGCATCGTTCCGTCCTCTCCTTCGGCGTGGCGCTTTGGAGAATCTTGGCGCACGTTTGCGCTATCCTCCTCTGCTCCTTTGAGCTGTGATCTTGATCTTCAGCGTTCGTCTCGTTCGCATCGCGAGGGCTCTGCTTGTCGTCGTGCCGTTGTTGGAGCGACGCGTCCACGCAACAAATCGGCACTGCATCCTCGATCGATCGGAAGTCGGAAAGGTCGTTTTCTTTGCTCATTAAATTCATCATCGGTCGCTCTTTTGCGACGCGTCGATTCGACTCTGCGCACTCGACAGCTTGGTAGACGTTGGCCTCCACAGTTGCTGTCACCTTTGCCGCGATCAGAGACCTCTGCTTTTCCATCCAATCGTCGGCGAAGTCTGACACGCTCACGGTCTTCTCCGTCTGTGCATTTTCCTCGGGCACATTCAGCTCCTTGATATCGCTGTTGCAAAAGGATTGCGCGGCGCAGTGTGTCTTCAACACCTCTTGCAGGTTCACAGTTGGTCCGAGCGCTGCAGCCTGATTTTCATTCTGCTGCGGCAGGATATTTATCTTGATCACGTCGTAGTTATAATCCGATACGATCGGTTGAGCTGCGCCTTTCCCGAGCAGATCTCGACTCCGCGCTTGAGATTGGGAATTCATAACATGGATCTTGTTCCCCGCGGCTGATGCTCCAGAGTCCGATGACTCCGTGCAAGTCGCGCTGTTATCGCACGAGGCTTGCGTCTTGCTTAACTCCTGCGTTTTCAACGCGTTCCAATTCTGCGGGGCGACATTGTGCAGATTGTGGACCGCGATCAGACGATCGTCAGGAGGGACAACGTCTGTGTGCTTAGACAACTCCATTGTAGCATTGCTGTTCAGATTAATCGTATGACCGAACAGGTGTATGGTGAGTTTATCTATCCCTAACAACACTTCGTTGCAGACGGGGCAGACGAGGGGTCGAGTCGCTACACTCACAAGCCCAGTTCGCAGAGCGTCGAGTGTCAGGAATCCAGGCTGAGAACACAATGGGCAGGCCAAGAGTCGCGCGCACATTTTGCGCCTGTTGACTGTAATAAAATCTTTTATGTCGTCGTGAATGCACGTTCTGCGTGTATCTGGTCTCTTTTCCTCTCTCTCTCTCTCTCTCTCTCTGTGAAGTGTAATACTTCACAACGGCGTGACACCACGCATTTTGAGCGCCTTCCAAGATTTCGCACTGCAGACAACTGATCGAACGATGCGACTTTAAAACTTAAAACTCCGGTACCGTGAAGTCGTTGGCCTTGTTAGGAGACAACTGGGGTTATGCCTGAACTTGACCCAGTAACTCAAAGCAGAGTTCAGCTCGTTACGACGGTTCGCGAGCCAGTGGTTATTCGAGTAGAATTTCACGAAGCACTCTCACAGACATTGCGTTCGCCGTGTACGCAAAATTCTCACACCTCAAAATCTAAATATAGAAAGCGGTATCTCGGGCATTTACGCGGAATTCCTGTGTATCTTTCGAGGAGTGCACATGATGATGATCTCTGCAAGCTATATTTAGAGCGAGTGGAGGGATATTCAAAGTACTCACGGGTGTCGAATCGGTGTATTTATTAAATGTCACTTAAGTCGTCTATAATTTATAAATTAGAGTCATCGTACAAAAACGTCGTCGTAAGTTTCACTCTCAGCGACATTTATACGGCAGGCTGTCTTTACAGCAGTATTCTCTGCCCGCGGAAAGATTTGTATTCATCCACTCGTCCTTGCAATTCTTGATGAAGAGATAGGCCTGTCGGCAGATATCACGCGCGATGCATTAAAATTTCATGACTTAGTGAAACAATATCGTTTTTACGATAATTTCGCGCAAGTAGAAAAAACAGTAATAAACATATACCCTTTCTTTGTAGCAGTCACGTTCAATAGAAGCGCAGAGAGTTGCAGCGCTGTTCGGCAAATATCTTACTATCTGCAAAGTGCGAATTTAATTCTTCATTATCGACAAATACTCTCGCGTACATGCAGAGGATTGGAATGGCCGCGAAACAAAAAAAATTTATCTGGAGTCAAATAAAAATCGTAATATCAATATAAACATTTAAGAACTTACAACGTCGAGACATTTGTTAGTGCAGAGCTTATTCCCGACAGCGTTGCATAGAAATGAATCCGGATGCTCATGGAGCAGTGCGGGATATCCTTTGGGCTGCTCCTTGCTGCCTTTTTTAAACTGTCCACTTAAAAATACAGCACAAACACAACCGATCGGTTCACTCGAGTTTGTCGATGAGCTAACTGTACTTGAAACATTGTTTCCTTCTGTATAAGAATACGATACGCATAGGACCACCATCACTGATATCAGGAACATTTTTGCCTGGAAATTGAAGCATTATTTAGTCTGGATTATATTAACACCTCTTTTGTATCGAGAATCATTTTGACGTATTACTTATAACGATATCAAAAATATCGAATTCCCTTGACTTGACGAATATCTGCTCGCAATTGTGCGTAACTAACTTGCGCTTACTGCGCGATCTTCGCGAGTACAATAAGACTGATCCTTTAAATTTCATCGAATACATATCACACTCTGTTGTAATATTACCACGAATATAGGTCATACCCGAAGTGCTTACTAAACAAAACTGTATTCTCAGATTCCGCGCAGTAAGGGCGTTCCACTTTGATTGTTTTGACTTATATACGATTTGTACATCAGACATGTGTAAACAGATAATTTTGTCAAGCTTAAAGTTTCACTGATATTTAGATAACAGAAACTCTTTGGCAACACGGCAAGAGAGCTACTAATATATAAATAATTGTAATCGTAAATTATGCAAACATCTCTTTCATTTACTGAGATATGTTAATAAAAAAAATTATTCATATTTTTGTGCATGTATTATATTATACTACAAGATAGAGCATTTTATTAAAAATGTTTACAACTTTCACAATGAGATTTCGAGCAGTAGTTTGCTCTAAAGTTTTCGTTTTCTTCTCGACACAATCTTGTCTCCATTAAAAAAATACTTTATTAATGTTCTTACAACTGACGAGGGATTTATAATATTTTCTTCATGAGCTTTGCTTCTCCTTCCATTACAATCTTGTCTCCATTAGCAATACACATGTAGGTACACATGATGATTTTTCTTACAGACACAATTTTTACTGTAACTTCCACTGTGTCGCCGGCATAACATGGCTTAGGAAACGTAAGATTTTGCTCAATAACTATAGTACCTGGACCAGGTAACTTTGTACCTATTATTCCTGACACTAAGCCATTGAGTAAAGCACCATGCGCAATGTTTTTTGCTGATTCAACATGTATTGGATTATAATCACCTGTCAATTCAGCAAACTTGAGTATGTCGTCATTTGTTATCACTTTGAAAATTGACACTTGGTCTCCTTCTCTCAGATCATTCATGGTTGTGTCAGCAATCAACCTTACTTGCGGCATCCCTGCTGAGCGATTTTTGAGGAACCCAAAGAGAAATTGAATCAGCTTCATATTATTTTTCTTGCGATAAAAATTATATGATATTTATGTATATATGTAACCAAGAGAGAGAGTACAATATATGTACATATGCAGTATTAGTCTTGAATATTTATTCACTGCGAGTTATTTCTTTAATTTTCTCCACTTCACTAGCTTGGCAATAGTCAGTCAAAAATATAGATGCTAAATTTTTAATACGGGTATTTGAGCTGCAGGAATGTTCTAAGATATGTTTCGTTACATCAGCTGATGTTATTTCGTTTTTTGATTCAGATGTAATCAAAAACATCAAAGTAGCAATTGCTGAGAGCACAACATCTTCATCTTGGGAGGAAAGCAGTGATGATACCAATTCGACACCTCGATTACGTAGAATATATATCTTATTAATAGCATCTAAAAAAGAATGAATGTTAAACGATAAAACGCGATAAAATACGTTTTATGCAGGATTTCTTCTGGTTCTATACTTACCTACACACAAGTTGCAAATACCACCAATGGCAAAACGTACTAATCTTAGATTGTCTTCAGACAAAGCAGAAAGAAACAAATCAATTATGGACAACTGTCTTATATATCCGTAGTTTATAGGATCATAAGCGAAGTTTGCCAGATTTGCCAGCACTTGCTCTTTCGCGTCTGTTATAAATAATATGAAAAAAGGTCAAAATGTATCAATAACACTATACGCTAAAATCAGATGTGTGGTACACGTGAAATTGTGTTTACCTTTAGATTTAGTTACTTGATATTCAGTAGCTAAGAGCTTCAAAAAATCATAACGTCCAACACCATTCTTTCCAGTACGTTTTATTAACTGTGCTTTACTTGAGAACATTGAAGTATCGATATCACTCTTCGATCTTTATATATAATTGGATATTCTATATACTAGAGACATTAGATGGAAAACAAAGTAATCTGTTCTGTTCTGTAATGGCTCCGGGGGAAAAGGTTATCCCCATACGCTATTCTCCAATCCTTATAATGAATAGAATAAGGCCTAGGAAGGTCTTAAGCAACGTTCCAAAAATCACAAGGTTCGAACTTACTCGAACACGTCTTATCGTGACGGCAGTTAGGCCGAGACGGAAAACAAAGTAAATAGAGAAGACAAAAACCCCTCATGGCCGTATCATGGCTCTCGCAGCCAGCGCGATTTACGACGCGATACGCAATATGCGATGCGCGATATCCAATGAGCGTACAGCTTTTCCGGAATACCAATACGCTCATTGGATATCGCTCATCGCATATCGTGTGCACGTCGCGCATCGCACTGGCTGCGAGAGCCATCAGAATGCGTTCAGATGGAGAAAGAAATAGCGGAACGGAACAGTTAAAGGGACGTCTACATTGGAAGTAAATAGCAAGAAGTAGGAAGCAAGAGTAAGAAATTGACCAACCACAGTCGAATGTGAGAAGAATAATCAACTATGATTGGTCAATTTCTTATTCTTACTTCCTACTTCTTACTGCTTACTTCCAATGTAGACGTCCCTTAAAGCCTTTGCACGTAGAAAAATTTTAACCGTAAGGTTGTAAGAAAATTGACCAATCACAGTTGATTATTCCTCGAACGCAAGGAGAATAATCAACTCTTGGTTAGGTCAGTTTTCTTACGACTTTACGGTTAAAATTTTTCTACGTGCAAAAGCTCTTAAGACCATTCTACAATAGCTGTAAGAATATGGCTGTAAGGCTGTAAGACTCGAAATGAATTATTTTCATTCGCTGATCGCTCACGTTACAGCTTTACAGCCATATTCTTACAGCTATTGTAGAATGGCCTTTACGGAAAAGAGAACGAAACCGCACGGATCCCATTTAATTACTAGTTACTTTTCCGCATTTACGCGTTTCCGTACGCTCATGTAATCGCACTCTTATTGTAAAAATCCATGCAACAAAAACTGCGGAACGCTTGTGATTGGTTCCGCTCTCGTTCTGCGCTCCGCTATTTCTCTGCATGAGTGTGCACCCTGAGAACACGCGGGTAACATTTCAAGCGCATCTATTTTTGAAAATAATCGACTGTGAATTTGCTTGCTGCTTATGACTAATAGTTTATTGTAGAGGGTTCTTCACAACTTATTGTACATGGTCCTTGTAAATTTAATAAATTGACTCAATATAAAGCGAATCAATATAGCCGTGTAATCAATTTCTATTCGTTGTACGTTGATTTACAATCGAAGAAAGGTATTATATTATACACACACTCTTCTAATCAGGCACCACACTTGCAACATATGCAAAATGCCACATGTGCCAAGTGACGCACGCACTTGTGCGTTGTTTTACAAATATGTTTATTGATGTTTACGTACTATTTAACAATGAGATACGAGTATCTTGTGTGTGAAACTGATCTATGGGCGATCGATCGAGCGTACGACGAGTTGCCCGGGACTGTCCAGGATAGCGATAGATATGACAATATAAGGTGCTCTGCATCGAAGCAACGTCAAAAGCTTTATTTACACAACAATATTGCTAGATACGAAATCGAAAACGAATCGATCATTGTCTTCAAATTTCTGTCGATTTTTAACTTTGCACATGCACAATGGTTGAGAAGAAGGTACATATCCCGCTGAATCACCCGAATCGGGATATTTGCGAGTTTTGTTATGGGTAAATGATTTTTTCTAATAACTGCATTTTGGGGAATTGTTAATGTCTTAGATTCTTATTCTAAGCTTCTCTTTAATTTATAAAAATATCTCTAAGTGTGACCTATAATTGGCCTTTTATTATTAAACCTTCTGATTGATTTATAAGCACATTTTATCAATAAAAAAAGAGTTTAGAATAAGGACCTCAATTTATCGAGCAATTCTGCATGATATATGTAATTGATACATAACAAAAAAGATTTACTCACAGAAATGGCAGATTACCAACTTTGCTGTGATAATTTGTACCATTATTTGCATACTGCAGTGCAGCTCAGGTATTAAGTAACTTACCAGAAAGGGTTAAAATTGGACAAGTAAAGACATTATATGGGATAGGAAAGAAAATAGGGGACAAGAAAGAAAAGTTTCTTCAGACAGGAAAGTATAAAGGATTAGAAATGGTACTGTAATTTTTCATATGGTTATCTTTTTAGTAAAGATACAATTTTTTCTAAATCTTCATGTATATTCCTTCTAAAGAATAGAAAGAATAATCAGAAGAAAAAATATATTATCAGAATGTTAATAAAGATACCTGGCATAGGTCTTAAAAAGGCAAAAGATTTAGCAGATGATATCAAGACACTGGAAGACCTCAAGAAGCACCAAGACAAATTCTCAGCTCGCCAGAGATTAGAATTGAAGTATAGACTGATTGTTATATCGTTGAGTTATCAACGATATAATAAGAAACTGATGTAACAAATATTTTTAGGTACTTTGAAGATTTTAACAAGAAAATGCCTAGAGAAGAGGTCATGAAGATAGAGCAATTGTTGACAGACTCTCAATGAATTAAACTATGAATATCTTGTAACTATTTGTGGAAACTACAGACGTGGCTTGGATGAGACCATTATCACTGCTATTGTTACACATCCCGATTATATATCAAAAGTGCCAACAAGGAACAAAAACATATCCATGAAAGTGATTGTTAAATGGCTCAAAGGTCGAGATTTGGTCGCAGATACGATATCCCTTGGATCTAAAAATTTTGTGGTAAGTAATGAGATCAGTTGGAAAACTTTCAGATCTTTTACTGCATATTTATTTTATAGGGTGCATGTCGATTACCAACATGTATGAAAGAACGTTTCGGAAGACTGAGTATACATTTTGTATTTTACGATCAGTATTATTGCGCCATACTTTATTATACGGGAAATGAAATGTTCAACAAAACTATTAAAAGATACGCGTTACAGCAAAAATACGCCCTCAGTAAATATATGTTAAAATCCAAAGGTAGACTTTGAATATGTATAAACAGTATTTTAAAACTTTGTAACTCGTAAGAGCAATTCATAGATACGGCAATATTATTCTTAGGTGCGTCAGGTAAAACCGAAAATATCACGTGCGAGGAAGATATCTTTAATATCTTGGGCTTGTCATATGAGCTTCCGGGATGCAGAAATTCGTAAATGGTAAAATGGTGTAATATTATTGGCTATGTTGGTATGAGTACGCTATTGAATTTAGATGTTACTTATATCGTTATTTAATGTTTAACGAAAAGTGCCAAATTTACGGCACTAATATTCAAAATATCTAAAATTATTATCTAAATGTTTTGAATATTAATGTTGTAAGTAAACGTATATTAATATATTAATATTATAAGTATAAAATCAAAGAGAAGACTGAGTTTTACAAAACGTATTGATTATTTAGAAAATTAGTACATGGTGATGATTAAAATGAATTGCAACTTGTATAATTTTACAAAATTCGTCAAGGAACATTTACACAAATTGCGTGCCATAGAGCTACACTTCTCATTTAGTTTCGTTATTTCTCCCATCGCAAAGGCTCGGAGATATCTGCTTCCGAAGTTAACGTTTCTTTTAGCTTTATAAGCATATGTTTACGCAATATCACAATATGCAATGATTTCTTTAATTCCACGCTGGAATATAATTATACAACAATACCTGTCAATATATAACAGTGCTACTTCGAGAATAACTTTAAATGGATATGATAACGTCCTTCAGATAAAGCCAATATGCAATAACACCCCATAAAATTGTAGTCCACAGGTTCATAGCGAGTAGCGACCAATGTGTAGCATGAGCCAATTTCCATGCCCATGGGAATAAGCCCTTGGTAATGGTATGACCAATATAAAGTGTGATTGGATTTAAACCTAAAACAAATAGTCAAAAAATATATAACACTTAATTGTAAGGACAAAATCTGTGAATGATATTCTTTCTATGTGTATCTTTTTGTGTGTAAAATGAAGTGTATCTTTATGATGTGAAAAGAGCTTAAAGAAACAATGATTGCGTTCAATGAAGAAAGTCGTTTGCAGCTGCAAAGCTACTTTCTCCACACAATCATTGCATAAATACATTGCCGAAATGAAAACATTATTAGGTATTATATATATATATATATGTATACACACAAACCTGCATAAATAAATGGAGCTCCACTCCAGTATTGTTTGTAATCAACGAAGAAATGTAAAATCGCATATAATAAAAACGCAAAACAGGAAACAGTGAGAACAAACGAAAGCGACATCATTTTCTTGCTGACCGGTATCACTCCAGATTCTTTGTCAAAATGACACAGTATTCCAGCGATAAGACCCTGTGAATATCGATGTTGGTTATTTGTGTTCTATTTTTTTTATATCGCTTATATAGGGTATGTATGTGTATATGTTCACCGTAACAGTACTATATTTTTACTAATTAGAATGGTCGAACAGGAAAAAGTTCTAAATGCATTAATCAGTTTTTTAAACGGAAATAAAATGCATCAATAAAAATTTCTAAAATATTCTTTTTTTGTAAGAAATCATTTTCATCTTTTTAAAATGGAACTATTGTTTTTTAGAAAACTGACTAGTTGTATCTAGAAATTTTTCCTGCTCGATGCTTGTAATTGTTAAAAAAAGATTGATATCGTTACAATGATATTTTCTGTATATTATTATAAAACATTGAGGCTTACCGTGAGACCTGACCATAGCAGCCAACGGACTACTCTTGCATTGCACTGGTAATAGAGCAGCAAGATTTTCCCAGCGTGCACTCCCATGTACACAACTAATATTATAGATATGGTATTCATTATTCCTGCAAATATATTGCGTTAATAAAGCAAATGCAACGTTTTTTAGAATTTTAAAACTGTTTATTTTTTTAAATTAAATTTTAACTGAATTTGATAGAATTTTTGTCTGTTCTTCAGAAGTTTACTGATAAAAGAAAAAAGAAAACGTTGAGCCGTTCGCCATACCTTCAGGATCATGAGGTAAAATGGTACCATACACAGGATTGTTTGTGTGATGATACATGTGACTACCGAAAACGAGTCTGTCTATGTAACCAGCTGCACCTCCAGTACAGTTAACATTCTTTCCGAAATTGTGGTAACCGCCTGGCCCTAAGTATCCTTTCGGACAATCCGGTACAGGCATGAGAAAAGTGATCAGAGTATGCGTCGTCGCGATCGCTAAGATAATGACCCATTGCGCCCAACTGTCCAGAATGTCTCGCAATACTGTGAATCGACCGAACTGCAACAAGTCGTCCTAAGGAATTAATAAATTAAACCAAGTTGATTCTCGCAAACAGACACAGTGTGTACGTGACGCGTGGACAATACCGCGTGTACACACACGGTACAGCCAGAAACGTTGTTCAATCAAACCTGAGAGTGCGCCTTCATGAATATAGTCTCGACGGTAGCGCATACGAAGTACGAAACAGCCAGCAATTGAAGAACACCCGGAAACCGGAGGTCCTTCAACGACTTCGTGTAAATCGAATTCAACATCAGTCCCAGAAGTATGAGGATAAATGCGCGCTGCAAGCAACGTAAGATAATCTTGCCGCGTGAATTCGATACGCGAAGTTCCGACCGTTTCGATATGGTAATTGACAATCCCATGATCCATGCAAACCTGAGCATGAAGCGAGACACGTAGAAGAGTACAGCACAATGTATGTAATAACGGCGATAAGGTACACGTGATTATTTACCAGGGTAGCATCAGGTCCGCCACGGTCAGGCCGTTCCAAACGCTGTGATTGAAGAACACATACTGGCCACCGCCGTTGTTAACGAATATCATCAGTAATATAGCGATCCTGAAAAAGATTTTTCTCGTACACGCGATACTTGGCACTAATCACGTCATATTGCATGTGGCGACAAACGATATACCCTCGGAATGTGTCGACTGAGCGGATTCTGGTACTAACTCTGCTTGTTCTGATCACCGGGTTCGACGTCTCCGCTTCTTGGAGTCTGTCCAAGTCCTGAAAGTACACGAGGTAATCGATGTCTCTGACATGTATGACTACACGATCGATATTTATGCACGCGAGCTTACATCGTGCACGCTGTCGGGCGACAATTTTCCTTTTATTACACGTACAATCACTTTGCATGTTGCAAATAAGATCCACAAGAGAGCAAACACCATAAAAGCTACAAATATTGCTGCAAAGAACGGTCGATTAATATCGAGATTCTACCGATTAGAATTGTGCGAGTTTTTACGAAATTTTTTTCAAATTTTTGGACTTACGGAGATAACTGTTTATTGGTTCGTGAATCATGTAAATATGCGAGCATAGATCTTCCTGGGAAATATTCCATCCGTAACTTCCATGTTCTTTAAAATTGTACGTGGTGCTAAAAATGTAAGTTGATGAGTTGTAATTACATATATGTAATATATATCTTAACGCTAGAATTAGCAGAATAATCTACAAGTTTGTCATTTCTTATCAAAATTATTACATTTTATATTTTTAATTGGCAATGAATAAAACTGGAAAGAATATATGAGAATTTTTCTTTTTGTTGCATTATATATTTCTTTAAAAACCTATCTTTTTTACCATTTCGATAGAAATAAGTTGTTAATCATCAACAGTTGCGTTAATCAGTATAATAAATTACAAATGACAATACATTTGCATATTATTAAATTACTTACTGACAAATCTCATATCTATTTTTATAAAACACATGCAGAGGATATTTTGTAGGTATAACCAATGTAGTATTCGTGTTTGCTGGTAAGACCGCTCTTGGTACTCCGTTGCACTGTTGCAAAAAAATTAGAGTTATTAATAGTCAATCTGATGAAATCATTCTTGTGTAAAACTTGACGAGTACAAACCAAGTAACATTCTGTCAAATAGGAAAACAATGTGATAGATATGTTGTATTTATTTATGATGCTGAAACATGCTTGGTCTACTCCAAGTGATACATTGGCATCTAGACAAGGATTAGCTGCTAGCTGTTGACTTGCAAAGGCCATGTTGTCACGACTGTCAGTTTCTTCGAAGTCTTACCAAAATTTTTTTAGTATGAGCACCACTGCAAAATAAATATAGGTATGTACATAGTTAAAGTAATAAGGAAAAGGTAATAAGGAAACGGTGCTGTTACAACAGAAAAATGGTGATTGACTATTCAGAGAAAGACGTTGGCAATAATTTACGTTTAATCAATTTTCTCTTTTTCCTTTAATGTATACTTTGTGTATCTTTCAAAGATTATAGATTCCGCATCAAGGTATGGTAGACCGACTTTCAGAAGACGCAGTAGAAGGTAAATTGCACATAATTGCCGCGATAAAAGGTGACACACGAAACACATTAACCGAAACGCAGACGGAACCGGGTACGTGACCTTGAGAAGCGTGACAATCGATCGATTTATGCACGATTCGCACGAATTCGCTACAGAATGTAGTTTCACCTATTTCTTGTTTACTCACCCGAAACTTGCATCGCAAACTACACAACGACGATCCCTTTCACGTATACACAGCCGAATGCACCCACGATCGCACGGATCACAGTAAGAAAGTACGAACACGAGTAATTTCGGTGGATGAAAGCTTGCCTCGTCACGGTTGAGTTTACATACGCTCGTAACCAGCCGCTTCGCAACCAACCGCAACTGCGTCCTTCCTCTTTTCTTTTCTATATAGATATCTCGTTCGCGTCACTCCTCGCTCTCGCGTCTTCTTGACAGTTTCAGGAAGTGCAGCAAGTGTACAAGCGAGTTGCGCGGGCCTCCGATTGGTCGGTGAATCGTTTGGGAGTTAAGTGTTTTGAAAAGGGCGCAGAGACGCATGCGCGCGCGAGGGCGCGCGAGAGACGTCAAACTCGACAGGCAGACGCGTAGCGATACTTGTTGTTGTTTATTGAGATTTTCATCATCGAGTCGTCGAGACACAGGATCGACCATTGTACTACATGCAGCCTTCGACACACAGTACGCTCCAGTTTTCGTGGGCGAGAGACTGGAGAGGAAAAGAAAAGAAATGAAATGAGTACCAGTTTTCTATTCTAACCACACATTATCGTGCGAGATGAGAGAGGTAGACACTCTTGCAAGCGATTTGTGTGTGCGAAAACACTGCCTCGAAAAGCTTTGAGATTACATTTTATAGCCGCTATTTTATATCTATCATGTTCTGTTTTCGTACGTGCGGATGCAAATATATTTTGCCGGGGATCGAAAAATCTATCTACATCCCTATCGTCGCGTGTATCTGCCGCACGACGTAAGCGGAAGAAAAAGATTCTGATTACGTGCCATACCATCAGGAGAGACGCGGTAACGAGCCTTTCATGTATACACGTGTATCACACAATGTATGTACACTTGCTTCTATATTTTATGTTACATCTCACACTACTATTCTGGCGTGAAACTCGATGAGTCATTATCCCGCGTCAGAGAGAAAGATATCCGACAATAATCCGAGGATAATTTATCTTTGAATATGTGGCATTATCTATTGACACGTAACACAAAGAGTCTATGAATTTCGAAAAATTCGCATCGTGAAACTTCCTGGAATATTCGTAAATTTCGGAATTTTCGACGCCGCGAACTGATTGGTCTGAATATTTGTAAGTGCACGGATTTTTCTGAAATTAAAGATTCATAATTAGTAACAATTTTTCTCTATTTTAAGCTTACGTGATTTTTTCCTTTTCAAGAGTGAAAGCTGACAAGTGTACGTATGATTCTTGTATGATCAAAATCGAAGGAAACCACGATTGGCATAGATCAGTTGACGCTATTATTCTACATCGATTCTGCATCTCTCTTTGCAATTCTGAAAACAGGAACGAGTTAGTTATACCAGCATGAGATAAGAAAGAGCACGTGGTCTTAACTCGAGGCGGAAGTTATCTTTCCTGTTAGATATATGTTATTTTTTATTGGTTATCCAAGCAGATAGTGTGTCGGTAGTTCTCGCAATAAGATGCAAAGAGAGCACCTTTGAATTTGAATAAAAGGAAAACACGCACACAGAGAGAGAGAGAGAGAGAGAGAGAGAGAGAGAGAGAGAGAGAGAGAGAGAGGGGGGGGAGAGAAAGAGAAAGACGATCGACCACGAGTAGCGTTACGGTTTCGCGTCAAACGCGACTCTAGGGGTTGAAGCAAAGTCGAGTTGAGTCGTCACTCCATTGTGTTTTCAATTATAGCTACGTCATGGAGATGTAGATCAGCGGATCGGCGTTTTTGCTTTGTCTCTTGCCCGTCCCCGTCGTAAACAATCCGTACCGGGGCTCTCCGAATGTCTCCAGGGCCAACTATTGCCGTCGACTAACAGCGGCGAACATCCTGACGCTACGAGACAACGGATATCGCGGTTAGACATTTTCACACTAGCCGTTCTTCATGACGGACTACGGAGACGCGATAAAAATCAAGCCTGATAATAAACTGATAAGCCTGCTCGATAATCGCGCGGCAACACTTCTACTAAGGCAAGCGTTTTAAAATCCGCCGAGATTAATCTGCCCTGTTAGTCGTATTGCGGACATCTCGGCGGACTTCACGTGGAGTTCTCCGCGCTTCTCCAAGTTCCCCGACACGCCAAAGAAGACTCCATTCTCGGCGATCGCTCGACCGTGCGCTCGACAGGTCCCTCCTCGGCGACATGGAGTCCTCGACGAGCGACAACGGCGAAGTCAAGGTACGTTGCGTATCGAACGCTTCAAGATAAAACCGCGGGAAAAAAGGACGAAGGAAAGAGAAGCAGGTGTTGCGCGAATCCGGAGATTAGTGCTTCGCGCAAATTCGGTCCTCGACGGACTACCGGAGACTATTGATACTCCGTGCGTGTTCGACGTGTGTTCGATATCGGATAGTATGCCTTATGTCAATTGCTGCGGCTTTGTTGTCTATGACGATGACAAGGCCGCTTTTACGTTTTCCTCCGAAATCGATCCAGGCGACTGCTTAGGCTGATCTGTCAAAATCCAATCGGCGCTGACGAGTCGATGTGCTCGCGCAAATTTCCGCAACTACGACTCGAGCTCGGCGCTTCATCAGTTCGCGTCGGCTCGTAGCGACTCGTCCGACTTTTGTCACTTTAATTTTTAGTCGAAGAAACGACTTGAGTCGAAATTTTGATCCCACTTTTGACTTGAATATCTCACGTAACGCCTATCTTGATACTCCGAGAAGTAGGGCTCTATATCCCACATTATACTCCAAACAGGACTTGAGTTTTCTTCAATGTGTATTAAATATGTTTCACTGATCTTTCCGGATATCAAAAGTTCAAGTCGGGAGTAGGGCTAAAATTTCGGCTCGGGGATTTTCGGACGTCAAAAGGGACGAGAGAGAACGAAGAGTGACTTTGAAACGTGCGTCGCAACCCGAGTCAATATTTTGATCCTACTTCCGATCTCGATAAATTCAGATTAATTTCAATCTCTTTTGATTCTATTTAATTCACTAACTTTGCCCAGAGGTCTTCTTTGGAGTCTATATGAACAATATCTGTATTTTCTGCCCTTTACAGACACTAATTAGCAGGGCTTGAGTTTCCATGTGTATTAAATATACACTGGTCTTCCCGAATACAGATGTTCGAAAGTTTAGGTCGGGAATAGAGCTAAAATTTCGGCTCAGAGATTTGCTCACGTCAGAAGGGGCGAGAGGGAATAGAGAAGCGACTTTGAAACAATATGAAACACATTTGTTCCAACCTGAGTCGAAATTTTGATCCTATTCTCGACCTTCACGAATTAAGATTATTTCACATCTCAATATTCCATTGAACGCCTTTAACTTTAATACTCGAATTTAACTTTAATGCTTTAAAGCCTACACTGAGAGAAAAAAATAATTGGAATAACTATAATCTCACTATATTTTATAGTTCGTTTTGGCCTCAAACATATATTTATAGTTCATCTAAACACGAAGATAAAGCAGAATGAACACATATTTATAGTCACCACCTTATTATTCTATATATATAGTAAAGCACAGCTTGGGAATATAGTTACATGTACCCATATTTTCCAAATATTCCATTTGTATTGACTATATAAAATAGTTAGTTTCTCTTACCATTTAATATTTGCTACCTTACTATATTTTTTATTATAAATAATTATAATTTTTGGTAAAAGTTTTACATGAATCAGTTATATTATGCTTATATTGTAAATATTACAAACATTATAGTGACATTTACTATAAAAAAGATATTCCTAACTATAATCTTTTTACTATGCCATTATAGTTCCAAATATCATACATTTTTCTCTCAGTATATTATCAACTTTTTTCGACTTTATTTAATCTGGTCTTGTCGAAAAGAATTCTCTTTAGAATCTATAACCGGCGTTTTTCCTACACTGAGAGAAAAATATAGTTGTTTTCGGCATCAACTATATTCTTTTGTGATTTTAACCATACAAATAGTTAGAAAAAACCATTGTTTTAGTAAGTGTTATTAGAAAGATAGTTCTTCAAATTCTTTTCTGGTTAAAATCACAAAAAAGTATAGTTGACGCCAAAAGCAACTATATTTTTCTCTCAATGTACTATTTAGAGGCGCTAAGTAGGACCTTAGTTACTACATATGCGAAAGATATATTGATCTTTCCGAACATACAGATGTCAGAAAGCTCGGGTTGAAAATTGGGACTAAAATTTTGCCTCGAGAATTTACCGAGGGAATTCTGGACGAGCCATTGTCATCGAGCCGGCGATTGTTCCGTTTTATCGCCCATACTTCGCTCATCTTTTTTTTTTCTTGTAATCTGCGATCGACAAGGGGGATGACTAATCAGTAGCTCGACGAGCCTGCAACACTGTGGGCACATAGTTGTAGACTTTGTTGCCTGCTCCGGACCACGGATTTCTTATCAATAGCTCACTTTCATTTCAGATTACGCTTTAGCTACATTGTGAAAAGGCTACGTGTGATTGACTTAATCAGTATTAATCTGATAGTTGTATGTAAGTGAAGAGCTTTATTAAGATCGTGAAAAACAGATATGCGATGTCCTTCGTTGTTCTTACCCTTTCTTTCTCTTTCTTTGTCTTCCTGTATGCGTATATCAATCGATTTCATCTCTCTAGTTCCGTTTTATCGAGATAAAGTCATGATTTAATTATAACAGTCGCGATAAGACAGTAACAGGCCTACTGTGATCTTCAAATGGACATATAATGGCTGATAAACCGGCTGAATTTTACAATAGCGATTCTTCATGTTTTTTGCTCCGTTACGAGAGCTTTCTTGCTCGGATATAAATAAGTAAATAAATAAGTAAATAAATAAATAAATATGAGGGGATTTCTGGGAATAAGCTGGTATCGTTTGACGCCAGCTTTACTCGATTGATATCACTGCTCAGGAGCATCGATCACGATGAAAATCCGCTGTCGAGGCTCATATTGTCTGCACGAGTAATTAACGGACGGATTTCTTGATCGTTGCGCAATTTATTTCTCTCTTTTCCTTTCAGAAAGAAAACGACAATGACGAGACGCTCGTGGACGATCGAGCGTCACCTTCCCGCAAACGAAGATCCAATTCGGTGATAGATTCCATCGGCGGCAGCGGCATCGTCGTCATCGGCGAAGGCGGTGCTGGTGAATCCACGTTTCCCGCGGGCGGTGTCACTTCACGACCCAAATCTCTATCCGCTCCAGATGTGCGTATATTCAATTGCTGTTACGTGTAATGTGATGCACCGGGTGAAGGAATTTCAACGAGATTTCGTCGACTGTGAGGTGTATCGACGATTGGCTGGTCACGAGCTCCGTCGCTGTTGTTTTTGCCTGTTGAGTGTAAACGCGCGGAAATCGCGGTGAAGACGAAAACAGAGAGGAACGCGGCACGAGACAAACTCGTTGTTATCGTACGAGCGCATCCTGTCGTTGTTTTTCTTTTTTTTTTTCTTTTTTATTAGATCTTTTGTTGCGGAATCGACGATGACAATAGAATGCGATAAAATATCGCTCTACTACTTACAGAAGCAATTACTCAGTTTATCTTCCCTCTACACTGAGAGAAAAAAATAGTTAGAATAACTATAATCTCACTATATTTTATAGTTTGTTTTGGCCTCAAACATATATTTATAATTCATCTAAACACGAAGATATAGCAGAATGAACACACATTTATAGTCACCATCTTATTATTCTATATGTATAATAAAACACGCTTTAGGAATATAGTTACATGTAATATTTTCCAAATATTCCAATTGTATTGACTATATAAAATAGTTCTATATAAAATATTTCTCTTACCATTTAATATTTGCTACCTTATTATGTTTTTTATTTCAAATAATTATAATTCTTGGTAAAAGTTTTACATGAGTCAGTTATACTATGCTTATATTGTAAATATTACAAACATTATGGTGACATTTACTATAAAAAAGATATTCCTAACTATAATCTTTTTACTATGCCATTATAGTTCCAAATATCATACATTTTTCTCTCATTGTAAATAATAGCTGTATTTACAAGTAATATTTTCTTAATGATAGCTTCAAAATGTGCTCATCACGAATTTAAGAAAAACTCGAGATCTGTCGTGTATTCAAAAGGAGAATTCATTTTCTTCAGTAGAATATTATAAAACTATCAAAGAAAAAGGCTGCTTTCATTCGATGCTGGGTTGACTCTATGTACACATTGAGAAAAAGAAATCTAAGAAATATTCATACGATGGGTACTAATAAATTTATTTGTACACTCGAGCAAAATACTTTTCAAATAAAAAAATATACTTTTTCTGGAAACTTTAGCCTTTCATAAAAGCAATTGTTTATTCTATTTAAATAAACAAATTTAAGTAAATATGCTATTGATAAAAAGGTATTTCTTATTTTTTAGATATTTTTTCTCTCAGTGTGATAAAGAAAGCAAATTGTTTTAATTTAATACTCTTGATTAAAATGCTAAGCTTGGTACAAGTGAGAATATATTTTAAATAAATTAATTTAATGCTATTCAAATAATTTATTTTCAAATAATTATAATTCTTGGTAAAAGTTTTACATGAGTCAGTTATACTATGCTTATATTGTAAATATTACAAACATTATGGTCATATTTACTATAAAAAAGATATTCCTAACTATAATCTTTTTACTATGCCATAGTTCCAAATATCATACATTTTTCTCTCAGTGTGATTCTAAGATCTCTCCGCTCTCGAAAAATATAATTTAAATAAATTTAATGTTTGTGATGAACTTACGACAGATTTATAACTTCATTCGGTAGAAAGTGTGCAAACTGTTTTACGTCTCCAAGTGTAATTTTTCCTCTATGTGTAATCCGTTCATTTTCTGCAGACGTCGGTGTTCGGGTGCGAACGCATCGGCCCTCCGAATCCCGCGCAAGCGACGGCTTACTCGTTCGAACCGATTAAGAAAGTCGCCGACAAGACCGACGCTCACGTGAGGATTTTCGATGATTTGCCGAAAAACAGGTACACAGGAGAACGTCGCTGATAGATTTGCGACTCCATAAAAGAAAAAAGAAACTGAATGGAAATGCTTGATATTTTTTGATTTCAGTGAATTCGCGACTAAAACCGCGTTCATGTCGGTGACTCAAGACGCGGACAGGTACAATATGAATCACAAAAATCGTGGCATATGTGTGATCTTCAATCACGAGGAATTCGAGATTGGAGGCTTCGACAGGCGGGAAGGCTCGTCGGTAGACGCGATGAAATTGGAAAAGAGCTTCGGCAATCTTGGATTCGATGTCATGGTCCACGATAATCTTACCCACAGAGAAGTCATTGACGTGTTGGATGAACGTGAGTATATGTATCTTTGCACTGAGAGAAAAAAATTGTTGGAATAACTATAATCTCACTATATTTTATAGTTCATTTTGGCCTCAAACATTTATAGTTCATTTCAAACACGAAGATATAGCAGCATGAACACACATTTATAGTTACCATCTTACTCTATGTGTATAGTAAAGCACGCTTTAGGAATATAATTACATGTATCCATATTTTCCAAATGTTCCAATTGACTATATAAAATAGTTAATTTCTCTTAGCATTTAATATTTGCTACCTTACTATGTTTTTTATTTCAAATAATTATAATCCTTAGTAAAAGTTTTACATGAGTCAGTTATACTATGTTTATATTGTAAATATTGCAAACATTATTGGTGACATTTACTATAAAAAAGATATTCCTAACTATAATCTTTTTATTATGTCATTATAGTTCCAAATATCATACATTTTTCTTTCAGTGTGGTTCTAAGGTCTCTCCGTTCTCGAAAAACTGCACTAATTCTTCGAAAACGAACAGATCTCTAACTGAAGACCACATAGCTTCTTGGTGAAGAATAAATTATTAAATATTTTATTCTCCTAATGATTTTTAAACAAAAATACCTCGACAAAAGAGCTCTTCTTAGAACGGCTCGAATGTTCGCCGTTAGGAGGATCGAATTTCTTGATTATCTACATTTTCTCATGTGTCGCAGTTAGCAACAAAACGGATCACAGGGACAACGATTGCATATGTATCGTCGTGTTGACCCACGGGTTGCAAAACGACATGATATCAGCGAAGGACGCTATTTATAAAACCGATAAGCTTTGGAAGCCGTTTACCGCTGATAATTGCCCGACGCTCGCGGGCAAGCCGAAACTGTTCTTCATCCAGGTAAGAAGCGACCAACAACTTCGATATTCTTTCGAGTCGAGTCGAGTTGAAATCTCAAGTGGCGCAGAATGTAACTTAATACGCTACTACTCAATATCGGAAAATATCCGGGGGTTGAATTTACCAAGAAGGTTCAATAAAAAATCTGAAAGTTCCAAGTCTAGAGTCGCCCTAAACTCTATGTTACTTGTCTTCTCCAATTCACCTTCTGGCTTTCTTCAGGCTTGCAGAGGCGAAGAGGTCGATAACGGGGTCGTGTTGTCCCCGCGCAGTTTGAGTACAACTGACAGCGTGTCATCGTACAAGATTCCGACTCACGCGGATATTCTAATAGCTCACAGCTCGGCTCAAGGTAAGCGTCAATTAGCCGCACCGCATCTCGTCCCTCGACAAATTACATTTACGAGGCGTCGTAGAAATTGGGCGCGACAGTTCGATGTCAGTAATCAAAGGTCGGTGTATATCTAATGGACACGTGCAATTCTCTCTCTCTCTCTCTCTCTCTCTCTCTCTCTTTTTCTCTGTCTTTTCCTCTCCATACTTCTCTCTTATTCTGAAGTCGTCTCTGTTGTCTCAAGGCTTTTACACCTGGAGGAATCCTACGGATGGCACGTGGTACGTCAGCTGCCTATGTGAGATCTTGAACAAATACGGCACCGAGCTGGATTTGCTTAGCATGCTCACGATGACGGCCCGGAAAGTCGCCATAGATTACGCCTCTTACAACCCTGAAGACTCGACCAGGCACGAGAAGAAGCAGGTGCCGTCGCTCACGTCGCTGCTGCTCCGAACCGTTTACTTCCCGCCGAAGACGAACATGTAGATGCAACGTCGTCGGATGGGACGGCATTGACGAGTGCACGATTTCGCGATCGCATGACTCGTCGATGCGCGAACGTCGCATAAGCACGAAGGGATCCTCGCTTGATATGGCGGTTCCCTACACTTCGCGTCGAATGGCTGTACATTTTTCAGGGGTATGTAGGCAAAGAGAAATACGATTCTGTCACGCTGGTTGACGAATAGTCAATCGTCGAGGGAATATGCGAAAACTTACAAACGAGACCTGAGAATAATTTTCAGAAAATTTTTCTAAAAACATTTGAAAATGGTGATGCGCTTTCATTTGTTCCAAACACTGGAGAGTGATTCTAATATAATGTCGCGCTGTTCCCCCTGCAAGTGGGAATTACGAGTGTGTATCTTTATATACACTTACATATATAGTTCATTTACGCACACAACACATAAATGTTACATATCGGAGAAAAGTCTTGGCATCAACGTGCTTCCTACACGCGAGAGCGCGTTTATATTTATCCACCTCTGTCCTGTAAATTATTTTTCATACAATAATGTTTTTTATTTTATATGTGCGAATTTTAAGTTAATGTAAATACACATACTCTTAAATACACACGCAAACACATTGTGATACGTAATATAACGAAAATTTTACATTACAATAACTGATCCTCTACATTTCTATTTCGCGGAAATACTGCGAGTATGTATATATGTATATATTCGCAGATTATATATCGGCGAGACGCGGGCTAGCTGTGCGTAAGCGAATTTTCTTTTAATGCGACTGATCGATCCCTTTTTTGGAGTAATCATTGTAATCTTTACAACTCTGCTACTTGTATGTACGCAATTAATCTCATTTGTGGTTATTGCTCGAAGTGACATAAATGCCATTGGTTTTTTTTCTTTTTTCAAAAACGTGTGTTTCACTGCTCGCTTGGACTCCCTCCTGTCGAATATATTCGTCTATTTATTTATGCACTATGCAAGTGTTGCACACAGCTAGATGTATCAGGATTGTATTTCAGAATATCCATCTTGAGGAAAATTTGACTGAAAATGTAAAGTATATGTAACGTGATTTCTCCTCAAAGAGGACGTTTTAGGATGCAACCCAAGTTGAACATCTGTTCATTCACGTATTACGAAGTATGTTGCCTCGCCTGATAAGGGTTGAAAGAGGTATACCTCGTTTCTTCCTCGTGACGGAGATCTCTCAATTTTCAATCCTATCCCTGATTGATCGTCTTTTCTTCCTCTTCTTCTTTTTCCGCGTACTCGTTCGTCCGTTGTAATCTATTGTGATAGTCCCCCGACCCTTCCCACCATGATATATTTTTTTCTTGTTGTTGTCTGTCCCTTCCTCGCCTGACCTAACTTTCCACGGTATCCCATCGGGCCGTTCAACCGCATTCGACGCCCTCCGACATTTAATTAAGCGTCGACCGCCTACGGTCGAAAACGATACAGCTTGTTGAGCGCACAAAACGACACCGTGCATCCCCTTCATCCTTCGATCACGCGCTACTACACGCTCGTTAATAGCGCGATTTTACCGTTCACGCGAAACCGCGTTAATCACCTCCTCACCCCTTTCGACACTTTCTTTCGCGAGGAAATGTGCAAATTGGGAGAAATCGCTAGTCAAGTGCGAAACTGTGGTTTTTCCAAATTTTCGCGGTGATGAATTAATTTAAATCATTTATGGCAGATAACACGGGTTGTTCAAGTGGACATTGCTGCAATTAATTGTACATCGACATTAATATCGAGATTTAAACGGTGAAGAGACGCTGAATGAAATTCACACGATAATGAGGCGCCATTATTCGAATTTCAATGGCTTCAAATTCGACTAACGGTGCAAAAATCTCACTTCCCAAACTCCTTTATCGGAGATATTTGACCTCAGTTTGTAAAGAAGATTTTTAAAAAAGAAGAATATATACCTGAAAAAAAGTTTAATATTTAACAATAATCATATACAGAGAAAGAATTACTATAAGTTACGGTCGGGAAAACCAACTTTTTAATTAAACAATGTTAATAGTTTTATATTTATGTTAATAGCTTTATAGCTTTGTATGTTTCTTTACTACTATTTTACTAAAAAAATATGGTTGAGGCCAAAAATAATTATAATTTTAATTAGATCAATCATTTCTTTCTCAGTAAGTTAATTCATGGCAACTACGGTTACTACAAAAATTACTACTACAAACGGTTTCATTGTACTTCTTGAAAACTTGCACGCAAAAAAAACTAGAGCTAAAAAATAGCTGTGACAGATAAGATGTCACTGAAATAAAGACAGCTAATGTCGATACTATCGAAGGTAAATTTATTCGCTGTTTAAACTTAGGCGCTACAGCGATAAATGTTAGCTGCTAGAACAAATAATCGTAGCAAATGATCGTAGCTGTGCGACAAATTTCTTTAATATATGCATACGTTAAAAAATTTAGGAATAACTGCCATTTTCTTAGCTACTTGAAATAATGTGCATTTTTAATATCACCTAATATATTTGTATCTCATAGCGAATGCATTTTAGCTGTCATAGCGAATTCTTAGTAGACAGCTAAACGGATTAGTCTTTTGACTAAGTTTGAATCAGCTACAGCGGTTTAGCTGATATTACTAAGTTATTTTTTTGCGTGTGAAATCTACACGGAAAAAACAATATGGTTGATCCATATAGAAATCTGGTTGTGCCAACCAGATTCAATAGTAAAATACGTAACAACTATTTATGTGGTTGCTGTAACCAAAGAGCAATGGCTGAGTTACTTATGTTGCAGCAGTGATAATACACGATTAATATAAACGCGGCTCATTACGCGGCAACTACAAATGTATATTTATACACTCGGAATCAGTTTTCACATGTATACATCTTTAGCTGTGCGCGTAGTGAATTGCTTTTGTCTTCTAACATCGCTGCTTTGCAATATAGCATTGATTAATGCAACTATATCGATATTTAGCTTGTTGCAAAATGATCTCCTTACTAATTTCTGGTTGCCACAACCAGATCACGCGCAATTTCATCGATGTAGTTGACACACCAAAGTAAGTAAGTCAAATCAACCATACACATAACTATCATACAAAGATATGTAGAATGATGCAGCTATTTGCTTACAACTAAATATTTTTTGTTAGGTGCACCACATCTCTTTTTTCCGTGTAGCAAATCAAAATTATTCCATAGCTTTCGCGCGGCTCTCATACTTTCATGTCACTTTGCGCCAAAAGTGGTGGCTACGTCATTGGACGTGCAGGCATAAAGGGAGTTGTTCTCGGCGTTCGCGCGCAGGGCCGCGTCGATCGCACCCTTCGCCTCGCCGAGAATCAACCCCGTCAAGTTCCATCCCTACGAGCAGGGTCACGGCGCGTCTTCAAGGTGCCCTAGTAATTACGCCGAGTGGCCTTGCGTCGCGTTCAAGGATCATCTGCGATCTACGCTAACGTTATCGTGCGGGATCTTGGCGCGTGATAAGGATCGTGCCCGTTAAATCGCGGGCCATCGCCGTGTGGGCGATAGAAAATTAGCGCGCCGCTGATACGAGCTAATCGCGCTGATTAAACGAAGCGATATGCCATTTCGTTATTACTTTCAACGACTTCCTTTCGACGGCTTTTGCGAAACGCGTGTCGTCGCCGAGATTTCTCGCTTGGGAAGACTGAAGAAAAATCGTCCCAAGTGTTTGCATAAAAATGACTCGTCTCTTTCTCGTTTGCAATACACATTTAGCTTAAGTTAAATTTAAGTTTCTTCTCTTTAACCGACTTCAAGGAAAGGAGGTTCCCAATTTGTTCTGTGTTAGAGGTAGGTATTATTAGAAGTTGACGCGAAAAATCAGGTGGGTAACTAAAGGTATATAACTGTAGGGAAATAAATAGTATGATTATTGACTTAATAACCATACTATTCGGGTTTTCGCGCTGTTTTCTAATATCGTTAAAATATTAGAACAGGGATGTAGGTACATAAGAAAATCGAACCAAAATGATTTCATAGTTCTCAGGACTTTTGAGACTGGTGTTTGTTGAACACCGGTGACCGGCGGCATAATATCACCGCGTCTCATCAAGTCAATATAAAGTTTGTATAATTAATTGCACGCGAAAAATTGTTTTTACGGCCGATAGAGAGCCGAGCAGACAATGAACAAAAAGATACGCGCGACTCAGATTGCATTATTCAGCGTATTTTTTCAGGTAGTTCAATTAAGCTTTTTGTACGATCCTGCTGAAGAAACATCAAGGGAGTGAGATAGAGAGAAAGAGAACATCCAACGAAAAGTCTGTCGCAGAATTTTTCTCTACTGATCCCTAACATATCACCTTTATCCTCGTGCCTCGTCAGTTACATCCTTCGGAGGACTTTCCGCGTTGGCACGTAACACGGAAAACAGAACGAAACGAGAGGGATGTCGTACGGCGTGCTCTCTCCGCGATGTGTCTTACGAGAGCGACGAGGAGGCACAACGACGGTCAGGAGGTTCGCGGTTGAAACCCTCGGAGGACTCCTAGAGCGCATTCGGAAGCTGCGAATGGTCCGGGGCGAGGGTGGCGACAAGCGGGGCGAGCGAGGGTCGGCTCTGGTTGCGGGGTTGGTGCCTAAGGACCAGGAGTTTGCGCGAACAGATCAATACGGCTGCCCCCTGCACGTGGACCTTCCTCCCTCTCTGCCGGCTCGTTCCGTCTCCCTTTCTCTCTGTTTTCATCTCGCGTCTACCCCCTGCCCCTTCCCCTCTCTCTCTCTTTTTCATCCCCTTTCCCGTCCAGCGATCCTTACCGCGCTCTTCCACCCCTGCGAGTCACTCGTAACTCCGCGTCCTTTTTACCAACCCGTATTCCTCGTGTCTTCCATTAGTATCTTCTCGCTCAATCCACACACACACACACACACACACACACACACACACCCTTTTTCTCTCTCTTTCCTTCTCGAGTCGCCGAGTCTCGTATCCAGCTCGTTCTTCCGACACACATCCTCAATTTCACCCCGGTGTACACGACAATCGCCAGCGGTTCCTCTTATTTCCGCTTCACCTCGAGAGAGGAATCTTCTCTCCGTATTCTCTCCCGAAGTTCGCTCACCTACTCTTCGCTACCTGTCTTCGGGATACCGTCTCGTGGCATTGACACTGCATCGTGTGTACATGTGTGTATGTGTGTGTGTGTGTGTGTACAACGAACGACAAAGCGTTGACCCGCCCCGCCGCGTGACTGTCTTTCTCTACTTCTGCCAATTTTCCCCACCATCGTCGTCGTGTACGTCGTCGCCTCGCGTCTTTCGTCCCTTCATTCCGTCCCATCCTTATCCACTTTCGTCTCTCCCCCGCACGAGATTCATAGGTCCTTTCTGCTCTGTCGCGATCCCATTGCTTCCGTCTCGCTCTCAATCTATCCTTCTCTCTCTTTCTCCCCTCCTCTTATCGCGGCCCCTAGTCGGTGGATCAGTTCTTCCTCTCTTTCGCTCTCTCGCTCTTCATCCGAATACACGGTGTCCAGGAAGCACCGTTCAGGCGATTTTCTCTTTGCCGCAACTCCAAGCGCACCGTCCCCTTTCCGTTCTCCCCTTCACACTCGACGTTAACGTAAGTTCGCGATGGACTTTACACTGAAATTCTCCGGAAGCTCTAAAATGAGGCAAGAACCAAATCAGAGTAGATCGTCCGCGATAATTTTCACGATCTGTCGATCATAATCGCGATCCCTCGCGAGTAACCGTGAAGCTTCAACGTCCCTTTACACTTTCGATCGCGAACGGCATGCAAATCGTCGTCGACTGGCCTGTCAACGTCGACGCCAGCGGAAATTCGGCAAGCCGGAAAAGAGGCCCACCTCCCTCTCATCGCTCAGCTCAGCACGATCAATCCCTCGTTCCTCCTCTTCATCTCTTCTCCCGTGCTCGCGATTCGTTTCTTTCGCGCCGCGACACCCTGTACATGCGTATCACGCGCGCGCGCGCGCTCCGTCCTTGTCCCGCGCGCACCCCCGGCGAGGTGGTGGCGTGGTCCAGCGTGTGTCAGCCGTGCGGGATGCTGAGTCCGTAGTAGAGATTCAGTCGTACTGCCTTGGCTCCTCTCTGCCGGAGAGGCGCAACTAGACGAGACGCCCGGCGACACAACCGGCGTGTCGACCGGCGAGTGTTGCATCCGCGTGCCGCAGCCGACTTTCCTTTTTCCCTCGGCGGGTCCCTCCTCGTCGCGACGCGGCCGTAGGACATCGAAGAACGAGGAGGAACGAGGACGACTGCGAGATAATGGGTGCACCCGCGTGAGTCGCGCGCGCTGGAGGATCTCGCTGGGGTAGCTCGGTGGTAAGTTGCACGACGCGGAGCTTCGATCTCCGTCTCTTCTCGTCCTTTTTCTCCACTCAGCTTCTCTTTTTCGTTGTCCGAATACTTTCTCCGGCCGGAAACACCGGCCGGCTCTCGGCAACCCTGCGAGCCGGGGGTGCCGATCGGTCGTTCATTCCGGTGGATCCGACGCTGCGACTCGTGAAGCGGGACAGCCCGCATCGATATCTTCGCTTCCGTCGTCGTCGCGAGCCAAAACGCAGAGATCGCTCTCGGTTGTATCGTAGCGTCGAGATCTAATTTCGTCGAGAACCGCCTGATCAATCCCACGATGCGGCCTCTCGTGCTTCCGAGGAGACACGTGTCGGCGGCTTTGCGCGTCGGGAATCTGCAGATGACAACGGCATCGGCGTCTCCAATCCGAGCGAATTTAGCACTCTCTGCAGTCGCAATTTTCACACACGTTATATTATTGACATATTTCGTTAAAGTGGAACGCAGACATCCCGCCGCTCCGGATGATAGTTCCCGGTCCAAAGTAAGCAACGGCAGCGACTGGCTGTCGGTGAAATATCGACGTCATTGCTCGACTCTTATAAATCGCCGTCGCCGTCGCCGGGGTTATTTTAAATGGAAGGGCGTGCTAAAGGACTCGCGGACACTCAGTGTTTGCGAGGGAAACGTGTTGTTGACTGGCACGGAAAGTTGGCAGCGAGCAGCCCGACAGACCCGGATGCTTCGCGTTCAAAGATAAACTCTCTGTGCGCTGATTTTACTCGCGCCAGAAAGAGAGAAAGGGAGAGAGAGAGAGAGAGAGAGAGAGAGAGGGAGGGGGGAGAGAGAGATAGATAGATAGATAGAGAGAGAGCAGAGAGAGAGAGAGAGAGAGAGAGAGAGAGAGAGAGAGAGAGAGAGAGAGAGCAGAGCGAGCCAAGTAATGCTCTCACATTGAACAAATCGTTCTTTTCGTACGCTTCGTCTTCTTCTTCTTGTTTCTCTACTCGAGATTCACGGGACCTCGCCAGCGACTCTCGGCGAGAAATCAATTTTCGGCAACCCGGTACAATGTGTTTGTTCTAACGCAACTCTACGCAACTACGCGCTTAGTCACGAGCTTCGCTTTTTTAACGCTTCTTGCAGAATTCCACCGGAAATTCTGTACACACGCATTTCGAGAATCGCGTTGTGCATGATTACGTTTCGCAATCAGCGTCCCGCCACTTTCCTCGCTTTATTTACGACGGCAATTAGCAATTCGCTAAAGTGAATTTGGATAATCTTTTACGTACTTTAGAAAGAGCCAAAAAGCTTTTATGGCAATCACGAGACTCCTTGAGTCGAAATCAACGTCTTTTGATTCTATTTAATCTACTAACTTTGCCAAGAAGTGCACCTTAGAATCTACAAGTGGCACATTTCATGCCAGTGTATGTTTTCTGCTATTTAAAGGTGTCAAGTAGAACTTCAGTTTTTATTAAACATACACTGATCTCTCAGAACGTGTAAATATTGGAAAGCTCAAGTCGAAAGCGGGGCTAAAGTGTTGACTCGTAAAGACAATAAGAAAAACTCAGATTAGCGCTGAAAATGATTACAACTTCGTCTTTTTTCTGAGAAGAAATTTAAAAAAAATACATAGATTAGAAAAGGAGACGTGGCGGTTCTAATATTTGAGTTATGCTCTTGCGATGGATTTCTTTTTCTCACTACCACGACGCAACGATCAGTTTTCACTCGCCATTCGTGTGTCGCGGTTGACCAGGATCGCGATTGATCCTTGAACGCGGTCTCCCGATCACCCCGTTCCCTTGGCAAATCGCTAAAAATATCCCATTTAGATTCCCATCCGGTTACATCGACAACCTTCGCGTCCCTCTCAAGAGGCTCTTCTCCCACGGCACGGTAAATATAATCTCCCTCCCTCTGCTTGCGTTTGTGCGTGGCTATCACCGTTTCACTTGAGGAGCGCGGGCCCATAGCCCACGGCCATAATATTTGTGATTGGGAATATCCTGTTGTGCAAAAAATTCCAACGTGATTGGCGAGCCTTGAAGGATGCCTTCGCATGTGAAAATGATCGTCAGCGGTCACCTCTCGCGCACCCTATTCTTCGCTTTGTCTCTTACCCTTTGAGGGCCGGCTTACCCTTCACCACGATCAAGCGCGTATTATAGCTTGCTTCTCGCTATTTTTGCACCGCGGCAAGCTAATGAGATTATGAGAGGCGTGAGCACATTATCGACAGAAAAAAAAAATTACTTCCTACCTCGGCGGCTACCAGATCTACTCTCGTCGTTAGCGGCGTTCTTTAAAGTGAGATAGCCGCATCCGTCAGCGCGAGGAAAGTTGAGGTTTCTCTCTTTGTGAGATCTCTTCGTGTGCCAAAATTATCGACGTCCCGACGTTTCTCATCGAGATGGAAACTAATTCCTAAGCGAGAGGAGCAGTTCTGTGGATTTCGCGGAACCCCTAGAGCTGGAATCACGCGCGATTTCATGCCTTCTTGCATGCATGTTGATCGGCAGTTCAGTTTACTGCATGAATCGCTATCGTACATTGGAAGATCTATGCAATGGACTGAGCTGAAGATCAGCATGCATGTAAAAAGGCATGAAATCGTGTGATTGTAACTTCAGAGTTTGTTCTTTATCGCTCAACTAATTTTACATTTACGGAATTTAAAGAGAAACAGGATTATATAGGATTATATAATTGAGACTTAATGCAAAAAAAGAGAGGAGGAGAACCACACACGCACACACAGTGTAAGCTCCGGCGTAGACAGCTCAGCAATAGGGAACAAACCACTCTTTTTTCGAGAGTTATCTCTCGCACTCTTCTTCTCGTTCGCATTCGCGCACCTGCACAATTGTCCAGATAACTCGCCGTTTCGCAACGAGACCGCCTCTGCAATCAGGTGTGTTTATTGATTATTGAAGTTTAGACGTATAGAGGCGCGTGTGTATACCTTCCATGCGGCGCGCTCGTTAAATAGATCTCCAATTGACGCGGTTACATTCTAAAACTGTCCGCGCACGAGCACATTCGTTAAATAGCCTCGTGCACGTGCGGCGAACGAGAAGTGCCAATAGTTCTCGAACTCGGGGAAACGAGAAACAAATGCTCTCACGTGGGCGTGAGCGTGCTCGCGTCGTATGCATAATTTTAATATAACATAAATATATCCCAACTTGGTATAATGCGCAGTGGAATTTACGAGCGCGCGCGTTCGGCACGATTGCAGTTCGCCAAACGCGAAAGTTTCCTTCGCGACCCCGCGGTCGCTCGAGTGGGGACATCCGTGAAATAAATATGAGCTTCTCTCTTCGGAGATGTCGCTCCGACTTCGTAGATAAATAATAAAGCAGATCGCTTTTATGCACATCTCGCGTAGTTTACTCGCGACTAGCTTAAACTACCCGGGTTATCACAAAGTGCTAAAGGGATGAAATCAGGAAGAGAAATGTCTCCTGGTTTCATGGTAGTCTATATCTTTCGCAAAGTCCTACAAAGTAATTGTACAAAATTTCGTCGAGATTGGTTAGAGGGTTAATAGAAAGTATATACAGACAGACATTTTATTTTATATCACAGAATGTCTGACCCAAGACATGCAAGACCACATGTGTAACTCTTATAGAAATATCATAGATAATTACTCATATCATAGATAAGAATCATTGATAGTTACTTATTATCCAGTATTTTTAATACTAAAAATAAGTAATTATCAATGATTCTTAGTATGATATTTCTATAAGGGAAGTAAATTAGATCAAACTAAATGGAAAAGTTTTTCATCATTTTCCAAACAACCACATAAAATTTTGAGTTATTAATCAAAGAACAAAATTGGGACTATTTATGGTTTAGTTGATAGAATGTTTTATCTTGGTTATCCTTCATTTCATAAAAAAATCTGGATTTCATCTGGATTTTGACGCTTATTAATAATAATTACCCAATTGACTTAATTTTTTAAATGATTAAACATAGATTAAATACTCTGATTGTGAGATGTGAACTAGTTGAGAATGAAAAATCAAATTTGACTGTTTCTGCTATAAATAAGAAAAAATTCTTTGCTATACCGTTTTTTGCTATGATTTCGCACAGACTGACAAAGATTTTCAAAAATGATAGTACTTGCGCTAACAGATTATCGGGATTGATACGAGTGCATAAAGACGGGCTTCCTCTTGGTTACCATAATAACGTTGTTTATAAGTTGGAATGCGGTAATTGTGAGGCTACATGTGTTGGACAAACCAGCAGAAGACTCTCCACACGTATTGCCGAGCATAGGAGAATCCCAAAGAATTTACTGAGGGAACTGACGGTTGTACAGGAACACCGAATCAAGGAGGATCACGATTTTGACTGGGAACATGTCAAGGTTCTGCATGAAGAACGTTTTTACTTGAAATGCCTGATTGCAGAGATGATTTACATTAAATTCCAAAGGCATGGATTGAATTCACAGAAGGACACAGAGTATGTGGGTAGCAACTACTGCGGCTTATTATGATAATTTCTCGGTTTTGTTTTCCTTCTCTTTCATACGTTTATCGTTTCGATATCTTATGCTAACGTGTATAAATTTGTTATTATTCGTATTGCTCTGACTTGGTGATATTGGCGTCGACAGGAATGTTTCATATTTCTATAGTAGCTTACTTTTATCTGAGATAATTTATTATTTAAATATTTATTTTTATATATTGATATTACAATTCTTACTTATTTTTGTTTTTTGGGGTTTTTTAATGTTTAATGACGGACACATCATAATTTTTGGATCAAGTTGTCTATTGTAAAATCACTGTTCTCTTAACGTTTTTGTCGATTGTAATATCAAGAAGAACATTGAGATCTGTTTGTTTCGCCCGAGTCACGATACCATCGTTTTGTAATTCTTTCTGTACAATCCTTGAGTAATTTTATTTTATTGTAATTATCACTGAAGAGGGTTGAGCCGAAACGTTTGATGATTTATGTTATATTCAATAAAGGATTTCTCTATTTCCTAACATAAGGAAGGCTTTATCTATGTGATATAATAGCATTATTACATCTGTGCTTAAACTCAAATTAGCCCTTTTATATATATTTTTTAAATTTAATCAAAGAAGTTTCGTCTCATAGGTAGATGAGCCGTGATGACGACTTCTACCGTTGTGTGCTTGTATATTAAGTCAAACTAAACAATATAACTATAACCATGTAGATATTTAGATATTAATTAAAGAAGATTAGGGTATAGTTGTGCACGATAATGTATCGATCTTTTTTCTATAAAAATTATTTATGAACACTGTCCCTATTGTTGTCTATATGTATAAAATTATGTGTTATTTGGCATGCGTATATCATACGGAAAAAAAGGTTTGGTTGAATTAACCAAATATCTGGTCGCATATGAACGATCCGGAAATTCCGATTGAAATAATTCGAATTCTGTTTAACTTTAGACAAGATTTTTGGTTGATTTAAACAGAATTCGGGTTACTCCAATCGGAATTTCTGGATCGTTCATATTCGACCAGATATTTGGTTAATTCAACCAAACCTTTTTTTCCGTGCAACAAATATGTGACATGATGATATTAATGCGATGCTAGATGCTGGACATAATGCAGTTTCGTAGCTCGTATAATCTCTCTATTCGATTGTACTGAATCGCGGATGTTTTTACAGAGTGAAAGTGCGAATATCAATTATCGTTAGAAGGTAAAGCTATGTTGGAGTGGTGAGTTTTCATTGGCGAATTTGCATTGGCGATCAGCCTCGACTCGCCGCCTGATTATCTCGATGACATGTAAATCACGCGATCTCGATGTGGCCTGTCCGGGGTTAGACGACGTCGTTGTTGAATTACATATTACACTACGCCGTCGCGAGCACGACCCACGTCCTGTATAAGACGTAATATATTTATGGGCATGAGCATTGTCGCGCCGATGAGTCGTCGCCGCGGCTGAGAATGAGAGAGCGTCGTCGACGATTCTCCGATGTGACTCGGCGCGATGCACGTCGACGCCTCGCGCGGCGCTCGCCCCGAGGGAGGGCGAACGTCGCTCTTGGTATCGTACTTCAAGTTCGCCATTTTACACCTACTCGAGCGATAGCTGCTGTAAATATCGCAGATCCTCCCTCGCTCATATTCGCTCCCCTCTTTCTGGCGAAGCTCATCTCCGCGCGTCTAAATTCGCGCGCGTGCACCTGAATCATTCGTACACGACGGAGACGGGGCACGTCGGCTTCGCGTGAAAGCCAGAAAGTGCGGGCCGGTTAATAATGCAGGCCACTTCGAAATTTGCAGGATCCGTTGAACTTTACGCGAGTCGATGCGCAGGGCGCGGGGGTCGTGACCCCACGACCCATCCCGCCCGATATCTGGGGCACACTTGAATTTTAAAACCACGTTGCAATTGCCGTCGCGCTCGATTAGCTCTTCCAACCGTTTAGAGGAGAGCGCTCGCTCGCTGCTGACGTTCTATAGGTGTGTTACGTATTCCACCTCGGCGCAGACTCCCATGAAATGTGGCTAATAGTAAATGTCACTCTGTATGTCATCGGTCACACTACTACTACTGCATCATGGGCGCGCAGCTAAACGAGCTCGTCTGTCTCAGCAGAAGAGCGACCATATGCGATCCTTTGTCGCGAACTTTCACGAAAGAAAGTCAGAATTCCTTCTCATCCATAAAAGTATCTTTACCTATAAACTTTCCGATTGGCTTGCAAGCGCATTTAGAGACATTTTTTGCAATAAAAAGTGTTTAGAATAAGAGTCAAAATATAGATCATAGACTCATTTACATCAATTGAACGTTTCCGTAAGGGGCGAGCCTGCGAAAACTCGACTAGAAAAGAATGTTCTGTTAGAACAGGCATTTGATCTTCGTCTAATTCTTTCTAATAGGAGTCCAGCTGGATGAAGAGGGGACGCCTGTGGACAGGAGAATACAGTTGTCCTTCAAATTTTGTCTTTGAATTTCTCATAAGAAGGCAGTCTCTTTCTCTCTCTCTCTCTCTCTCTCTCCATATATATATAAGTCTATAGATAACGTTATAGTTTCGGAGTTTCGTAATTGTCGAAAGAATGGTCAATGTTTTCCTTATTAGGAATCTACACAAAACACGCAAGTCATGCGATATTCTCCGCGTCGAATGGATATGTTAACGTAACGTGAGAGAACGTAAATTAACGTACACACGGCGATATTAATAATTCGCTTTCCGTATTTTTGGATTTATTGCCGATCGGCCGCGAGCCCACGTTACGTGGATATCGATTTCTAAATATATATACAAAGGCCGGCTGCTTTTTGTATCGTCTAATGAACGGAGACGTACCTACGCGGCCTTATTTGTACGGAGACGTTAATCAAGGAGACGGAATAATTAATGCGGTATTGATCGCGCGCGAGAGCCCGGCTTTACGTCCGATTAATTCCAAGTCTCTCTGCTCCTTCGTCTCTCTCTCTCTCTCTCTCTCTCTCTCTCTCTCTCTCTCTCTCTCTCTCTCTCTTTTTCTCTCTCCCCTCTCTTCGTGTTCCTCCATTGTCCGACTGTTCGCACATGTAATGGCCATTATCAGGCTTGTTAAAGATACAATGTGAAGTAGTCGGATACAGAGATACGCCGAGTACTGGCGCAATAAAATACGTAGATATACATAGAACGTCTCTCGCGCGAAGCACCGACATAGGATGGAAAATCGATTCGGCGACGCAAAGTTTTGCCGTTTTATCATCGACAAGTTCAGATACACGTCTCTCGGTCTCTCGATGAAAAAAGAGAAAGAGAGAGAGAGAGAGAAATGTATACGCCCCTGTATCGCGGCGATATCACTGGATTAAGAGAGGACCCATTTGACCCGCTTATTGTCCGGCTGTACCGTGTATACACACACGCTCACATATCTAGCCATAACGCTCGACAACACCGGCCGTCATTGCCGCCGTCGCTGCTTTTACCGCCAATCATTCAGTTGCAGGGTCCACATCCGGAAGCGAACGCGCAACACACGACGCGACGCGGAGGAGGATGGGGGTGTACGTAACGGGTGTGATTGGCGTGATTGTGTTTTACATCGCCGTGCTCGGCGTCGGCATTTGGGCCGCGGCGTTCAAAAGACGGAAGGCCGCGCAGGGCCAGGATGACATGATGCTGGCGAACCGCGGCCTCGGCCCTCTCCTCGGGGTGTTCACGCTCATCGGTAACTAGCATTTCATATATCGGCGACACGCGACCGTCCATCAATCGAGAATTAACGTGCGTCACGCACTTCCTGCTTTCGCTGAAAGGTCAGCCGAGAGGTCAAGGATCACACTTCGTGTGTCGCACGCTCCGTCGACGCGTTGAGGACGAACCGGTTAACTCTTTATTGGACACGTGGCCTGCAAATGCAATTTGAAAGCTGCACATTTTGTAGAATGTATGTCTAGCGCGACAGATCAGACTACCGCTACATAAAAACTAGACAATCTTTTCCACAAGACTTCTTCCCGGTCGAATTCGAGTTTTTTCTCCACCGTCACGCGTTTAAATTCCGCCGCAGTCAAATGCATTCGAGATTGAGCTAAAAGGAAGAATACGTAAATATGCGCCCACGGAAGACGGGAACGTTACCTCGAGTAAAAGTCTCTTTGAGTTTTCTCTTTTCGCTCTTTAACCTCTCATAACCGGACACTTTTTTTCGTGAGAGGCCTGTTTACTTGCGCAAACTTTTCCTCTCTTTTCTCTTCACATATTCGTACGCACGGTTTTTCAGTCAAGCTGACGCGCTCCCGCGCCGCGTTTATTTTTATCGCGCGTTTTTAATCGAGTCACCAATTTATATCCGCGAAACAAAACACCAGGCGCGAGGTATCCTCTTGCGGGCATCGAACTCACCGTGGGGCCAATAATTCCCCGTGCACAGAAGGTGGCGAACGCGGAGCGTGGCAAAACTGCCTCTTCTCGTATGCTCGTCAAAAATCTCCCGTCAAATCTGACGAAATTATCCGCCTTGCGAGAAAGCGGCGTGCGCGCAGCTCCAGTTTATTTTCTCCTCGATATCGACACGTGTCAAGAGCGCGCGTCGCCACGGAGCGAGTGACACCGTAAGAGCAAGCGCCGCGACTGCTTCTCATTGATCGTCTTATTTAAGACGGGCTTCTTACCCGTTCCTGGCTCCCTTATTTTTAGTCATCTGTCCCCGTGAACAAGAAATTCGCGCGAGAAATGGATCCCGATCGACTCACTCTGGCCGGCCGCGCCTTGCTCGATCATATTTCCGGACTTTCTTTTCTTTCCCTGTCCTCTCAGATGCGCTCGTTGGATATTACATCGCGACTTCTCTGCGCCCCTCCATTACTGTAATGAACACTCCGGTCTATGCAATTGCAGAAGAACGTGACATCAAGTGCCTTCTCTTTCCCTCTCGCTCCCCCTCTTTCTCTTTCATTCGTCCGCTGATATATTTCCCATTTCCCTCTTATCTCTCGTAATACGAACGGGACAGAAAGGGTAGGCACTCGCTCTGCCATTCACGATCCGGAGTGTTTCGACGAACCCTGGAAATTCCGTTTCAAAATTCATGCTTGTTCTTAGCTTGAAACGCGTTACGCGATGAGCGATCGATCGATCCGTCCTCGGCGCACGTTATCGCGAATATCCTCCCGTTAAAATTGAGGTCGCGATTTGCGGCTACGTATCTTGCGCATATACATGTGTATGTGTGTTTCCGTGCAAAGCGACGTGGGTCGGAGGAGCCTTCGTCAATGGCACCGCCGAGGCGATGTTCACCAAGGGTCTGGCCTGGTGTCAAGTACCTATCGGATACAGCCTCAGCCTGCTTTTCGGTACGTACGTGATCGAGTGGGCAGTCGTTGCGCCCCACATATCCGCACGATATCCATATGGATATCGTATTAAACACACTGAATGTCACAACGGTCGGTTAAGCACTGTGATACCACTCCGTCTTATGCCCGTTTTTAGTAATGTCGATTAAACTTTAACCTGAGCTTAAACTGTCTTCGGAGAAAGACTCACACTCAGATTAAGGTTCAATTAACGTTGATAGAAACGGGCATTATTAAGCCACATATAAAATGTAATTAATTATACACAGAACATCTGACGATACATATATAAAACTCCCCTGTACAGAATGTTGCACTTACATACAGGTCAGTATGACGAATTGCCTGCCAACGAAGCACATAGGCAATCCGTTATACTAACGTGTATGTAAGTGCAACGCTCTATATATGTAGATTAGCTTCAACTGAACACAAATTTCTCTACCATTTTGCAAACAACTACGTAAAATCTTTAAGGAATATTCGCGGGATGTCCCGCGTTGAAGAAAACCTTAAAGAGGGAAAATAAAGTGTGTAATCGAGCGGAATAGAATGATATTTTTCAACGAGATATCCGGAGGATACTCTTGGGACGTGTGTTGCGCCACGCTGCGAAACTTCGTCTTCAGTTCCAATTAACGACCAACTTGGAAAATGTCTTGTACAGGCGCCATGCTCTTCGTGCGTCCGATGAGGAAGGCCGAGTACGTGACGATGCTGGATCCCTTTCAAGAGCGGTACGGCGCAGGTGTCGGCGGCTTGCTCTTTCTTCCGGCGCTGTGCGGCGATCTGTTCTGGTGCGGCGCCGTTTTACGGGCTCTGGGGAGCTCGTTGGCTGTCGTCGCCGGGGTCGACCCGAATATCAGCGTTTGCGCTTCGGCGCTTCTGGCGGCCATGTAAGCGCGCTGATTGACAGTTTAATTGTGATAAAAATACGCTCGGCGAGTGAGTTACGAATGTCGCTTTCAGATACACGGTCTTCGGCGGCTTGTATTCCGTCGCGTGCACCGACGCCTTGCAACTGCTGTGCATTCTGCTGGGCTTGGCGATCGCGGCGCCGTTCTCCATGGTGCATCCCGCGGTGTCGTTCGAGAAGAATCTGGCCCTGAGAGACTGGCTGGGACAGATAAAGAACGAGGACTTGGGTGTGTGGGTGGACGGCATGCTCCTGCTCGTGTTTGGCGGTATACCCTGGCAGGTGGTTCAATTTTTCAGCGCGCACACCTATACCTTGACAACGTCAAGGTCTGAGGGCCTCTGAAGATTGTCCGCAAGATTTAAATTTGCCTGATTTATTTTGCTCAGGAGATTAGAGCGCAGAGTCGGCTTACTTTGTCTGCGTGGAGAGAATGTTATAATTTTCTTTTTCTAAGTAAATTCTATAGTAGCTGTTATTATAAAGTTCCCTCCGTGTACGAAGTAAAAGTATACAGGACGATGACGGCCAATTTGCCGATCTAACTTGCATATATTTATGATACACGGTGCAAAGGACCAGTGTGCGAAAAAATAAAAATTGTATACATTAAATATTGAATTTGATTGGTTGAAAAGAGAGGAGGAGGAGGAACGGAACTTTCTTCACGTCGTCCGAGTACGTGCGATGCATCGCGATGAGACACTTTTCTATTTCCCTTCAGGGTTACTTCCAACGAATATTAAGTATCAAGAGCACCTCTGTGGCGACGACTCTGTCGATAGCTTCGATGTTCGGCTGTATGATTCTGGCGATACCGTCGGCCTTGATCGGCGTGGTCGCTCGCGCTACCGATTGGTCCTTAATCCCGTCGTACAACAGGACCTTCTCCACGGATGACGGGAACGCCGCGTTGCCCATGGTCCTGCGATATCTCACGCCTCAATGGGTGTCCTTCGTCGGTGAGCTCCGGTTCATCCGATAAATATCGATTAGTCGTGGAGTGTGGGTGTTGTGTTATTTTCATAAACAGTCGATCGACGAACTTATTATTGTTAAAAAGATGGTCTTGCAGTCATAAGGAAAATGATCACGAGAAATCAGCGAAATGTCAAACAAACGCCGCGATATCGCATATGTTTTGTATTTGATCAAGATAGATGACAGAGACAGAATTTATGTCCGAACTATTCGTAAAATTTTAAAGTTTCTCTCTGGCGTACATTCGGATTAAGGCCGGATTAATAATTGCCAATAGGACTTAAATTTATCTGCAGATATTGCTAGAATATCGCTGCTGTGAATTCCACAATTTTCTGTTGGCGGATGGACAAAGAACAACGATCAATTTTAATCGAGACATTTAGAATTCTACCTGGATCAGACAAAATATTTTTTGAATAGATGTAATCTCACTCTTACTTCCCAATGAAAGAGAAAGAACACTCGAACGCAACGTTCCGTTATTATTTTCAAGGTCTCGGCGCGATCTCAGCGGCGGTGATGTCCTCGGCGGACTCCAGCATACTCGCCAGCAGTTCCATGTTCACCAGGAACGTCTACAAGCTCACGATACGGCCGAAGGTAAGCGCGATTGTCGCCCTTCGATGAACGATGAGCGACGATCGACGACAAGCGTTGAAGCGTTCTCTTTTCTCCTTGCGATAGGCGTCCGAGCGTGAATTGAATTGGGTCCTGAGAATTTCTGTCATCATGGTCTCCATACTGTCCACCCTCGTCGCACTCATGGTCAGCAGTGTGTATTATCTCTCGTAAGTAAACGCGTGCTGTGTATTCAACTTGTCGCTGTTGCATCCGTGTATGCCTCTGGGGATTTCCGGAACAGACGCATACAGTTAACACGATCAATATTGGAGCAGTGCATTGCATTTGTCCGCAGGTACTTGTGCTCCGATCTCGTTTACGTCGTTCTGTTTCCACAACTGTTAGCCGTCGTTCATTGGCCTTCTTTGGTAGACACTTACGGCTGCCTAGCGGGATACTTCATCGCAATCATTCTACGTCTTGCTGGTCAGTATTAGCGCCAAATTCCGAACGTAATTACGTTGAGAGAAGAACACGAGAAAGAGTGTCCAAAACTTTTACTTGACATTTTGCTAGTCACGAGTCTTTGTTGGAAGATTAAAGGACATTTAAGTCATACTTAAAGCAAGAATACCAGTGCCAAGACACATATATGGAAAAAAGATATAGTCCACATAACCAGAAATATTTCACACTTTCAGGAGGCGAACGGGGACTCGGTATACCCGCATTGATCGAGTACCCGTTCTACGACGCAAGAACGCACACGCAGAAGTTCCCTTTTCGCACCACCGCCATGATAATCGCCCTCTTCACTCAACTCTGCACTAGCTTCCTCACCAGGAATCTCCTTGGCAAGGGTTACTTCCCGGAATGTTGCGACGTGCTGAGCGTTTACTCACCTGGCAAGTCTAAGGAACCATCGGGTGTCGTGCAGAGCAGTTCCGGGGCCGCGCTCATGGATTCGTCCTCGGTAAACATGTGCTCAAAGTTCTCGGGCGTTCAAACGCCCTCTCTTCTTACCCTCTAACTTTCCTCGAGTGAAATTTCACTCGGGAAACAGCGTGACTGTCGAATCATTCGAATAACTTTTCACCTTTACGGAGTGAATTCTCCACTCTGAATCGTTGAGTGAATACTTCCATTCGAAATTGTATTCTGATGTATTCCACCGTCACTTCCAGAAATCGACATCAGGTATAGATTCATGCGACGGGGTTGGCGGCTACGACGACGATAGAACCTGCAGCCACGACGACGCGGCCGACAGCGGCGGCGGCGGCGGCGGCGGCGGCGGCGGCGGCGGCGGCGGCGGCGGCGGCGGCGGCGGCGGTGGCGGCGACGTCGACTCAGCCGGCAACGATCTCGCCGAATCTTCCAGGACGAAGATTGTCAACACGATCGCGCAGAGGGTGGCGAGTCAGAATCTGCAGAACATGCAGAACCTGCACAACTTGCAGAACCTGCGTAACGTGATGACGCCGATGCGACACGTCACTCCTACGGTGATGAATCAGTATACGCCGGTTCCAGGCGACGCGTGCAGAGGTCAGATTCTCGGGGTGAGGAACTTGCGCGGTCCCCTCGCCGCGGTGCTCTCGCCCACGAGGTCGATCGGTGTGCTGGCGACGCCGCCGATCACGCCGTGCGCGCCGTCCTACGCCAAGGTGGGCTGCGAGCTCGGGCCGAGCAGCGAGAAGTCGCGCGACAACGACCGAACGATCAGCATCGTCGACAGGAGCAACATGGAGTTCAATCTGAACGCGAGCACCCAGGAGAACGCGACCGCCAGCGTCGGCCCGAAGAAGAGCGTGAAGGGTGTGAAGCTGGTCGGCATGGAGGGCGGCACATTGAGGAGGCCGTCGCTGCAGGTGAGGGACGACCTCGACGAGGACACGTCGTCGTCTTTGTGAAGCTCGACGATCCGCAAACTGCGATCTGAACCTCGCGCATTTTTTGTTTCGTATTCTTAATTATATACAGTCAATGACGCGAGAAGGTTGCAATCTTTTCCCTTTTTTCACAACGCATTCGCATGTACTGTGGGCCGATGGTTCGATAGGTTATACTTAGATTTAAGTTTAAACTCGATATTATATATAATGTATGTGGAAAATTTAAATATTCATGCTCAAAGATCCAAGCGACAAGAATGTCCAGGATTAGATACATGATTGGAGCGTTGGTATCTTCTCTTTATCGGATGTGTTCTGAAATTTATAAAGGAAAAAGTGCCGCAACCTTTCCGCCATTGACTATACCCGCATCTCTTTTGATTTATTTATCAATTAAGTTCTCGATATACTCGTTTCACGTAGCATATGTGTGTATGTTTGGTTCATTTCATTGGTTCTCAGTGAGAACTGTCTGTCAATAAAGCCGGCACTGATCGGGGGGGG